TCGGGCCCACAGCAGACCCGGGACATCATCAACCGCAGCCTCTGGCGCCATAAGCAAGATGCGCGGCAGATTATATACATCCAGTTAATATATATGGGGCTCAATTATGAAGGTACTCTACTGATGAGTCCCACTGACGACGGAGCCGGGCTACAGTTGTCCAATTTGAGTTGGTGACCTAAACAATAGTTTTACTGCTACACGTTCAGCTCAGTTGAGCTGGTGATCTGGACAAGGCTGACGGAATTGTATACGTGCAATGTGGTGGTCACATGACATGCAATCATGGCAGGATGAGTGAGACTCGTGTCTTCCTGCTTGCTAGCGAGTAGTTTAACACGCAGTAGGCTGTGGCGACCAATATTATCCATAATCAAGGTTATTTTTGGGAGGGTTGGATCGCTTAGATATAAATGCGTCGCTAGTGCAGTGATATAAATGTCAATCTGAGAATGTGCGATGTACCTATTGCTGTTTGGGCGAGCAGCACAACGACACGAGTCGCCCTCCTGGCTGTTGTGTTCGGCCACGCTCCGAGCGGCTGTGACGACGGTGGTGGTGGTGGTAGTGGTGGTGATGGTAGTGGTGGTGATGGCGGTAGTGGTGGTGATGGTAGTGGTGGTGATGGTAGTGGTGGTGGTGATGGTGGTAGTGGTGGTGATGGTAGTGGTGGTGGTGGTGATGGTAGTGGTGGTGATGGTGGTGGTGGTGATGGTGGTAGTGGTGGTGATGGTAGTGGTGGTGGTGGTGATGGTGGTAGTGGTGGTGATGGTAGTGGTGGTGGTGATGGTAGTGGTGGTGGTGGTAGTGGTGGTGATGGTGGTGGTGTCAATGGGCGCTCGCATCGTCTACACTGACTAAAGATGTTCATGAAACTCAAACACTGCTCTGCTCTACCCCCCACCCTGCTCCACCCCCCGTGCTGCACCCCCCTCTGCTCCACCCCGTGCTCGACCCCCCCTGCTCCACCTCCCATGCTCCACCTCCTGCTTCACTCCGCATGCACCACCCCCCGTGCTGAACCCACTCCTGCTCAACCGCCCGTGCTCCATCTCCCGTGATCCCCCCCCCGCCCCCCCACTGCTCCATCTCCACTCCTCCACCCGCACTGCTTCAGCCCCCCGCCCTCGTGCGTCACCCCAACTGCTCCACCCCCGAGTCTGCCGCTTATATCCGTGGAAGAGTTTTTATATATATAAGAAAAATGTCACGACACACGTGGCTCGGGCTACGTGATGGACAACCTCCGTTCGGAAAAAAAAAACAAAATAAAAAAACACCACCCGAGCGTGAAACGTGCACGGAATGTGGACTGCTGGAAACGGAGGGCACTAACGATCGGAGTCACGTTCACGGTGGACACTGCCCGTGGTGGACAATGCGCACGGTGGATACTGTCCGTGGTGGACACTGCCCGTTGTGGATACTGCTCGTTGTGGATACAGCTATGGTGTTCCCACGCCGCGTGGTGGACTCTGCCCGTGGTGGACACTGCTATGGTGTTCCCACTCCGCGTGGTACCGACTTAACCCTCTTTGCTTTTGTGCCAAATTGGGGCGCCTGAAGGTCCAGGGAGGCGAGGTCACGTAGCGAGGGTGCGCCACGGTGGCGAGGAGATGTTAACTACCTCGCCTGGTATGCAGGAGGTCGTGGGTTCGATCCCGACCCTGACGCCTTCCGTTGTATATTTGGAGTTTGCACTTCTCTCCCTCCCCGCGGTCGCGGGGATTTTTCTCCGGGTCCTCGGGGTTTTCCCTCCAAGTTTCGAATCAACATCACGCTGACTGCTATAAATGTCCACGTGATGACACCAGACTTCACTGAGCTATCATTTGTGATAGCCAGGTCGCTTCTGAAAAAGAGCTACATAGCTCAGTTGGCCTGACCTGGTCAAATAAAACATAGTTTAGTCTTAGTTGTACGATGTGCCGCCGCGCGGCTGATCTACTCTCCCATGCGCTGTTGCTCCAAACGTCGACTTTTATAGACAAATACTCATTTTAAGGCCACACACACGGTGGTTATTGACGAGTCTTTTTTTGTTTATTTTTAATCGCCCAGAGAAACGAGGATCGCAGCGTTGATCCGCGTTCACCAAAGAGCACCGGACAGAGACACAGCCGATCGGGGCACATTCGATCGAGGGACAGCGGTTCGAGGCACAGCCGATCGGGGCTCGCTGCTGTGGAAAGTCGACGGCCAACAGCGGCAGTCCGAGGTGGTCAACAGCGCGCTCACAATCAGCTCCATTCCTGCGACAGCTCTGAGCACGCCGACATCCACGTGCCACTCGCGCGCTCGCCTGCCGTGACTGACCACGGCGATGTGGCGCTCGCCTCTCCGACCTCTGCCGGACAGGGGGTCGACTCGAGCAGGGGTCGGCAAAGCCGGCGGCTCCGCAGCAACACGCGGCTCTTGAAATGTTGAGTTGTTCTTTGGGTCTTTCGGTAAAGTCACGTAGATAGGTTCAAGGAAAATGACAAAAAAATACTACGGATTTTTATGTGGAGGGGTGGGGGGGGGGCGATGGAGGGGGGGCGGTGGGGGGGGCGATGGGGGGGGCGGTGGGGGGGGTCGCCCGACAATTGGGCAGCCAAACCGCCGCCATTAGAGCGCCGCCTCCGCAAAAGACACGGGCCGACGTTTCGGGAAGTGACCCTCGTTCGTAACAGAGAAGAAGCCGGGCGGCAGAGAGCTTCGCTCGCAGATGGCCGCGGCAGGCGGCGACAGTCGGACGTGGACGCTGCGGCAGCGCCTCCGGGAGTGCCGCGGTCGCGGTTCGATCCCCGTCCCGACTGATTCCGGCTCTTTGTTTCTTCATCTTCCCATTCTCCCTCCCTCGCTCCGTTTTGATACTGCGGCTAAAGTATTCTTCTCATCGCTTTATCCCGAACGTAAAACATTTGGCAGCCGGCTGCACGCGATGTCTCACTCGCGGCCAATCAAATCAAGGCCCCGGCAGCAATTGAAACGAGAGGCGACACGACGATCTTCCCATCGACATAGATAGTAAGCCGGGGGGGGGCTGATCTTCGGAAGGTGGGAGAAAAAAAGTAATATTTCGTGACGAACCGATCCTTGCTGGGCAACGACGAGTGGCCACCGCACCTCCGATGAGCGCGGTTGGCTACGTACGGCGCGAAAGAAGTTCAACATACATACGTTCAACATACAGCGTGCCGCCAGCGCTACCCTATGTAGGTGAGCGGGGTGATGATAATTGTGGCCATGGTTGGTGGTGTAGATGTTGTTCATGATGAATGATCATCAGCAGCCTCCCCCTCTCACGCGCCGATGGGCGACTCACACCGAAGGGCACCCCCTGTGTCAGCTCCCGGGCTGGGTCGGCAGTGCAGGGGCAATCAGCAGCGGGTGGCTCGTGAGGCCCTGGTTGGTGTCCTCGCATCGTCGACTCGCGCACCGCCTTCACTCAACGCTCCGCTCGTCGAGGCCCTACCGCGAAACGTCTTTCCGTCTGGTGTATATATTATATTATTATATATTATTATTATATATATTATTACTTACACGATAAACCCGCGACGCCGAGTGCTGCATGATTTTACAAGAAACTCATCATTTTGATGACATACATCGCATTTTGATGACATACATCGCATCGCATACAAAGACAAAGATCCCCCGTATAGTCTTAGCAGACTGTAGGGGCAAGTACTGTCAGCGAGCACCTATGAAAGCCGGCACGGCAAACGAGATGGTGGGTGGCCAGCACCACGCCCGGCCGGCCACCTTTGTCTCCCAAGTGACTATTGTTTACACACTGAACCAGGTACTTACTTGAGGCTGAGTCGACCTAAGGTAAGCCCAGAACCGGATCAGATAATCGTCACTGGTGTCTGCCGTGAGCGGGATTCGAACTCGGGTCACCAGGTTCGTAGCACAGCGCGCTAACCGCTACACCACCGCTCCGCACCCACACACAATGACAAAGATCCCCCATAAAGCCTTAACAGACTGTAGGGGGAAGTGCTGTTAGTGAGCACCTATGAAGGCCGGAACGGCACACGAGGGGGTGGGTGGCCAGCTACACAATGACACACACGCACACACGCACACACACAATGACACACACGCACACACACAATAACACACACACAATAACACACACGCACACACACAATAACACACACACACACAATAACACACACGCACACACACAATGACACACACGCACACACACAATGACACACACACAATCACACACACGCACACACACAATGACACACACGCACACACACACTGACACACACGCACACACACAATAACACACACGCACACACACAATGACACACACGCACACACACAATAATACGCACACACACAATAACACACACGCACGCACACAATGACACACACGCACACACACAATGACACACACGCACACACACAATAACACACACGCACACACACAATAACACACACGCACACACACAATAACACGCACACACAATAACACACACACACATACACAATAACACACACGCACACACAATAATACACGCACACACGCAATAACACACGCGCACACACAATAACACACACACACAAAGACACAAACACACACAATAACACACACGCACACACACAATAACACACACGCACACACACAATAACACACACGCACACACACAATAACACACACGCACACACACAATAACACACACGCACACACACAATGACACACACGCACACACACAATGACACGCACGCACGCACACAATAACACACACGCACACACACAATGACACACACACAATGACACGCACGCACACACACAATAACACACACGCACACACACAATGACACACACGCACACACACAATAACACACACGCACACACACAATGACACACACAATAACACACACGCACACACACAATAACACACACACAATAACACACACACACAATGACACACGCGCGCACACACAATAACACACACGCACACACAATGACACACACGCACGCACACAATGACACACACTCACACACACAATGACACACGCACACACACACAATGACACACACGCACACACACACACTGATCTCTCTAGCCTACAACAGCGAGGCGGGGGACAGCGTGCAGCGTTATGGCTTGAACCCCCGACTGGAGCCAGGGCTCGAGATGACAGCGGTGAGCTCCGTGCTGAAGCTCACAGCTGGAGTCAGTGCTGGAGGCCAGGGCTGGAGCTCAGGGCTGGAGTTAGTGCTGGAGTCAGTGTCAGGGATACAGCTTCGAGTCCAGGATGCGTTGCTGCTGGAGCCTATGCTGGAGCTCACAGCTGGAGCTCACAGCTGGAGGAGTCAGTGCTGGGGTTAGTGCTGGAGCTAATGGCTGGAGCTCAGGGCTGGAGTTCACAGTTGGAGTCCGTGGGGCTGGAGCCCGTGGGGCTGGAGCTCACAGCTGGAGCTCACAGCTGTAGCTCGCCGTGTGCTCATAGCGCGTTGCTGCCCGAGTCGGTGCACGCGGGGCACACGGAGAGGCCACGGGCCGATCGCCGCGGGTGGGCGGCGCCGAGGAGGCGCAGCGCGGCCTCGCGGAAGCGTCGCGACACAATGTTGTAGAGGATGGGGTTGATGGCTGCGCTCAGGTAGAAGAGGAGGAGCGACGCCACGTTGATGTGCAGGTTCACCTCGTACAGACCCCGCTCGTCCTGCTCGGACGCGCCGGAGAAGAGGTTGCGGCCCACGTGGAAGGGCAGCCAGCACAGCACGAACGCCAGCACGACCAGCACTGTCGGGGCGACACACGGGGGCAGCCGGGTCGAACCGGGACGCGGTCAGCTCGGAGGCACCCTCGCCGTGCGACAAACAACGTTGGCGCGGCAACTCCACAACGCCTTACTTCGTCCGAAAGCTGTGCGTGGAACGAAACGAAACGATTTATTTGATTAACCGGGTAAGGTCCACTTCGCTTTGCAGCTCGTTTTCAGAAGCGACCTGGCCACAAATGAGAGCCCGACGAAGTGGTCGACCGCGGTGCAACCCACAGCAGTAAGGTCCTCGAGAACGCACGACACTTCAAGAGCCGCAACGCGGTGCGAGCCACGGTGGCGCTGCTCCTGAGTAACAAGCAGCGCCACGGAGCCCCCCTTGGAGAGCCCCACGCGGCTCCGGAGTCGCAGGTTGGGGTCGAGTCGCGTGGCAGACGGCGCCGAAGCAGACGCGGGGCCGCCGGGGCCAGGGGCGGCGTCGTCCGCAGGGCCGCGCTGACCTCCGGAGTAATGAACGCATTCTCCGGATTATAAGACGCACCTCGGGCTTGTGTGCCCGGTGTCAATAAAGTTGTACAAATCGGATCACGCATTCTCCGGATTATAAGAAACACCTCGGGCTTGTGTGCCCGGTGTCAATAACGTTGTACAAATCTGATTACGCACACACCGGATTATAAGACGCATCTCGGGCTTGTGTGCCCGGTGTCAATAACGTTGTACAAATCTGATTACGCACACACCGGATTATAACACGCACCTCGGGCTTGTGTGCCCGGTGTCAATAAAGTTGTACAAATCTGATCACGCACGCACCGGATTATAAGACGCACCTCGGGCTTGTGTGCCCGGTGTCAATAACGTTGTACAAATCTGATTACGCACACACCGGATTATAAGACGCACCTCGGGGCTTTGTGTGCCCAGTGTCAATAAAGTTGTACAATTTTGATTACGCACACACCGGATTATAAGACGCACCTCGGGCTTGTGTGCCCGGTGTCAATAAAGTTGTACAAATCTGATTACGCACACACCGGATTATAAGACGAACATCCCAGCAAATTTTGCTTTTAAAATACAGGAGGGAAGAATGCGTCTCCTAATCGGGAAAATACGGTATTAGTTGATTGTAGTAGTAGTAATAAGAATTTTAAAAAAAATCTCTGTTTTGAAAAGCGCTTTTCAAATTGAAGTATCTCAAAGCGCTGAGATACTGCAATAAGTATTATTACAGTGTTCTTGTTACAGTGCCACTGCAAGAAGTATCATTGCAGTGTCACTGTAACAACAAGAACAGAGTGCTCGTGTTACGATTAATCAGCAATTGACAAACTGACCATCGCCACTCGCATGCGTCGAGCGGCACGCGTGACAAGAGCCATGCCTGGCAAGTTTGTTGCGGGTAGGGGCAGGGAGTGGGGGGCTTTACCCGGCCTGCTACAGGACAAGCGAAGCAGCAGCAGCACCGCGACCGAACCCGTAGGGGCAGGGGGGGGGGGCGAGCAGGGCTCAGCCCGGACACCGCTCGGATGGGCGCACCCCCGCGCGGCAGACCGACAGACGGCGCGTTGTGGGGGGACTCTCTAGCGCCGTGCGGAGCCGGCCGAGCCAGTCGGCGGTGAGGGTGTCGTAGGCCGTGCCACAAGCCGCGGGGCGACGTGACGGACAGCGCACAGTGGAATGCCGTCGTTGTACAACGCACGTCAGCAGGAGGGAGGCAAAGGTAGCGGGACGCGTTGCTGGTCAAACCGACCCCGTCGTGTGCCCGTGCCGGCTTCAAGAGGCGCCCGCTAACAGCAATCATCCCCGACAGCGTCGAGTGGCGTCAATGCAGCCCACACGTGGGGGTCTTGTCACCCCCTAGAAGGTCGCTAGCGAACTGCAGCTTACAGCCCTTCGTCGATCCACCGCTGGATGAGGAAGGCCTTACTCCATCACGCCGCGTCGATCTTGGGGTTGTTTCGCCATATTTCACCACGGGGCGCGAAGGGGGTGGGTGGGGGGCGGGGGAGTCAGGGTCAGTGAGGATATCACTCGCCACTGATGTTAGCCGTGGCCAGAACTCGAACTCAGGTCGCCGGGTTCATCCTGCAGTGTGCTAACCTCTGCACCACCGCTCCCCCCCCCCTCCCCCCGAGACACGAAAGCAGCGACAATTGCACCCAGACAAGAGCAGCGCGACGCTTTCGTTGCAGGCTACGTACGGTGGGAAAGAAGGACAACACACACATACATGCGTCCACATGCAGAGTCACAACGTGAAGTTGCGTTATCTCGAGGCCCAGCTCGTGGCCACGGTGGGTTCCCACCTTGCTACGCACAGAGTGTACGAATGAATGAATGGGTTAACGAGCGAATGAATAGGCGAAAGGGGCAGTGATTCAGTAGCGGTCCACAGTGCTCCAAATCTTATCGCGCCTGGTTAAATATTTTTTTTAAAAACCCCACCGCTGATGAACGCGTGAAAGAGTGCGTGCACGGACGGAGGAACACTGCAGCTCGGTCTCTTGTGATGTAAATGTCCTCTCGCCGGCTCTCTCTCTTTGTTGAACGGTGCCACGGCAAATAATGCGTGGGAGGCGCGGTATTAGTCATGGATGATGATGATGATGATGGACGAGCGAGTAAGCGAACGTGCTAATTAATCGGCGAGTGAATGAGTTAAAGATTGAATGATTGCAATGAGTGAACGTGTCCATGGAGCACCTCGTGATGTCAATGGGATGATCGCTCTCGATAAGTCGCTGCATGAATGAAAGAACCCGTGAGTGAATGAATTTCGTTATTGGCAAGGGAATGAATTTGCAAAGGGAATGGATGAAAGGGGTAACGAGCGAGTGAAACAATAAGTCAAGGAGTGGGTGGACGAGTAGATTTAATTCGTGACGGGTTGAGTGGCTAAATGAATTAAAGCCTCGTTGAATGAATTCGTCAGTAGATGATTCATTTTGGTCAGTAAATAATTTCATGATTAATAACCGAGTCAAGGAATGAATACCAACCGATGCGTGATTGAGTGAACGAACGAAGCAGCGACTACGTGGTGTGTGAAAGTATTATCTCTTGAATGAGTGGATCATTAATGAACGATTATTTTAATTCATCTTCATCGGTGAGTGAGTTGTTGCGTGGTTGGCTGAACGAATGAATCAACGAACGGAGGGAGCGAGTTGGTGAATTGCTAAACGAACGGACTCGCGAGTGACTGAGCGATTGTTTTTTTGGGGCGCACCAACCCGTGTCCTGCCGCGAGCCTCCACCACTAACACCACCTCCACCACCACTACCACCACCACTACCACCACCACTACCACCTCCACTACCACCACCACTACCACCTCCACCACCACCTACATCAACACCCCCCCCCCCCCCGTGTAGTATTAACAGACTGTTGGGGCAAGTGCTGTTAGCGAGTAGCACCTGTGTAGGCCGGAACGACACACCGAGGGGGCGGGTTTGCCAACACCACGCCCGGCCGCCTTTGTCTCCCCAGTGGCGATGTTCACACAGCGCACCAGGTACTAATTTGAGGCTGAGTAGACCGAGAGGAGTCCCAAGACCGATTAAGACAATCGTTATTGGTAATGGCCGTGAATGGGAATCGAACTCGTGTCGTCGGGTTCGTAGCGCGGCACGCTAACCACTACACCGCCGCTCCCCCGACCACCACCGCCACCACCACCACCACCAACCACCACCGCCACCCACGCAGGGACGCACCGAGGATCTTCACGGTCTGCCTGTGGCTCCTCTCCCGCTGCGCGCCGCTGAGGCCCGCGCCTCCCTGGCGCCTCCTCCGCCACAGGCGCCGCCCGATGAGTCCGTAGAGCACCGTGAGGCAGAAGACGGGCAGGAAGAAGTAGATGGTGGACACCCAGATCATGGTCTGCAGGAGGCCCGAGCGCACTGCCTCCGCGTTCTCGCGGCACTCGGCCGTGGTCCACACCAGCAGGGCCTCCACGTCGTCGTCCAGCTGCACCCCCACAATGTAGAAGACCGGCGCGGCGCTGCCCAGCGCGCAGCTCCACAGCAGGGCGATGACCCCCTTGACGCGTCGCTTGGTGATCAGCACCTTGGCCTTGAGCGGGAAACAGATGGCGAGGTAGCGCTCCACGCTGAGCGCCGTGATGTGCAGGATGGTGGCGTACGTGCAGCCCTCGCTCACGTACTGGAACAGCTTGCAGCCAAGGTCCCCGAACAGCCACGGCCGGTACTGCCAGATGCGGTAGAGGTCGAGCGGCATGCACATGAAGATGAGCAGGTCGGAGAGCGCCATACTCGACAGGTAGAGGTTCGTGGTCGACCTCATCTCCTTGTAACGGCTCACCACCACGATGGTCATCGCGTTGCCCACGACCCCCACGGCGAAGAGGAGGCAGCAGGCGGCCGTGACCCCGGCGAGAACGGGCAGCGGGAAGAGGCGGTAGACCTCCTGCTCCTCGGCGCCTCGGACGACGCTCGCGTTGGCGCCGGCGCCCGGCGGCGGTAGCAGCAGCATGGTGGAGTTGAGCGGCGCCTCCACGTGGGCCGCGGCGAGCTGCGGGCACGGCGCGTGCTGCTGCAGGCACGCGGACATCACGGGCACCAGGCGGCGAGGCTGCATCACCGCGGCTCGCGGGCGCCGCGCATCGCCTCCTCAACGCCGTCCCCACGTCGGGCCCCGTGGCGGGGTCTCCAGGCTCCTTCTCCCCCCTCCTCCTCCTCCTCGTGGCACGGCGCTCAGTGCGGAGCGAGACTTCTTCTTCTTCTCCGCTGGGGAGGGGGAGGCGGGGTCCCCCCCCCGTGTGCCGCTCAGCCCCCACTCCCTAGCTGCTGGACGACTTCGGCTGGAGTGTGCTGCTGGAGTGTGCTGCTGGAGTGTGTTGCTGGAGTGTGCTGCTGGAGTGTGCTGCTGGAGTGTGCTGCTGGAGTGTGCTGCTGGAGTGTGCTGGCTGGAGTGTGCTGGAGTGTGCTGGCTGGAGTGTGCTGCTGGAGTGTGCTGCAGGAGTGTGCTGCTGGAGTGTGCTGGAGTGTGCTGCTGGAGTGTGCTGCTGGAGTGTGCTGCTGGAGTGTGCTGCTGGAGTGTGCTGCTGGAGCGTGCTGCTGGAGTGTGCTGCTGGAGTGTGCTGCTGGAGTGTGCTGTTGGAGTGTGCTGCTGGAGTGTGCTGCTGGAGTGTGCTGCTGGAGTGTGCTGCTGGAGCGTGCTGCTGGAGTGTGCTGCTGGAGTGTGCTGCTGGAGTGTGCTGCTGGAGCGTGCTGCTGGAGTGTGCTGCTGGAGTGTGTTGCTGGAGTGTGCTGCAGGAGTGTGCTGCTGGAGTGTGCTGCTGGAGTGTGCTGCTGGAGTGTGCTGCTGGAGCGTGCTGCTGGAGTGTGCTGCTGGAGTGTGTTGCTGGAGTGTGCTGCAGGAGTGTGTTGCTGGAGTGTGCTGCAGGAGCGTGCTGCTGGAGTGTGCTGCTGGAGTGTGCTGCTGGAGTGTGCTGCTGGAGTGTGCTGCTGGAGTGTGCTGCTGGAGTGTGTTGCTGGAGTGTGCTGCAGGAGTGTGCTGCTGGAGTGTGCTGCTGGAGTGTGCGAGGTGGAGCACCAGGCGGGGCACGAGGTGCAGTAAGGCTGGATGGAGACTGCTCCAGTCGCGTGCGGCCGCCTGCGCGCGTGGTGCGAGCGTCTCGCTCTGTCTCGCTCCCTGCTGGGTGAGTCTCCGCCGTGCCGGCGAGGGAGGCTGAGGAGCCCGCTCCTACGCGGAGGAAATGGGAGGCCGATCACCGACTCCCCTCCCATCATCCCCCATCGCCATCCTCCCACCTACACAGCCGCTCCCCGCCTCCTCTCATTACTTCGTACCCCCCCCCACTACTTCCCACCTGCAGTACCCCCCCCCAACAACATCGCCTGACAACCCCGCCCCCGCTCCCCCTCCCACCCCGCACGCCCACGCGCCCAGCTGCGTCAGCCCTGACAGCTGCTGACGAGGAACGAGGCGACTCCTCCTGGCTCCACGAGATCCTGATTCCATGATATCCTGATTCCATTATATCCTGATTCCATGATATCCTGATTCCATTATATTCTGATTCCATGATATCCTGATTCCATTATATCCTGATTCCATTATATCCTGATTGCATGATACCCTGATTCCATGATCTGCTGATTCCATAATATCCTGATTCCTGGGCGCACGGGTATAAGGAGGGAATCAGGATCTCATGAGGTCTCGCGATGTCTTATGCTTTCCTAGTTACACGAGATCACGATTGCATGACATCCTGGCTACGTGAAATCCGACCATCGTGAAATTCTCATTCCATGAGATCCTGTCTCCATGCTAACCAATATATAAATATCTAAACACTGCAATTCACAAAATATATCAAGGCACTTGTACACAAACTTAAAATCAGATGCAAAATCGAATAAGTATTACATTATCAGCCGAGCCAACATGCCTTAAAACTCAGTAAAAGGAAGGTGGTTCTTGAGTGCAAACTCAAAACTTTGCATGGACCTTGACTCCAAGCCCGAGGCCAGAATGCCTCCCAGCAAAATAGCCCCCTGAGCTTAGCCACCTTGATTCACAACCTGCACCTAGGTCTTGCCACGGTTAAACTTTAGTTTAGTTTTAGTTTCATTTATTTGGTATAGCCCTGTGAGCCATTCGGCTCTTGAATCGGGTGCAACCGCAACAAACAAAAAAACAAAAACATGAACAAGAAAACATCTTAAAGTGACTGTGTGACTGTGCAAACAGAAAATCCAGAAAAAACATCAAAATATTCCTGAAATAGCACCGTACACCAACGCTGTGTGCAAAAATCCCAGTAGGATGCAAGTCAAACAACAACAACAAGACAACTTATATTAAGGCCATCAGTCTAACTCCGTACTACAATAAACAAAAACATGGCCAAACCAAAAAACTTTTAGAAATCACCAAAATAAAGCCATAAATGCAATGTAACAGTGATCATAGGAACTGTGACCGAATTTTTAACAATAAACTACATAAATAACATGTAACACCAAACCCTAGAGCCACAGCTGGCTGCATGAGTCACTCCACAAACAACAGGAGCATCAGTCGGAGTATCACATTTTTCAATGCACCTTTAAGATTAGCACACGAAATCAAAATACAGATAATACTTTGCAGCGGTCATCCGGAGCGAAACATTTTATTTTAGGCCACTGAATAGCAGTGGCAGCTAGGGGTGTACAATTCCTCTAGAGCAGTTTTGAGTGAAGATCTCATAGGTAGTGATTCAAGTTGCAGTTTATTGGCAATAGCATTCCCGACCCTGGGGGCATCAATAGCAAAGGCCCTTCCTCCGGTTTTTGTACGGAAATAGGGAATGTGAAGCTGGTAAATGAGCGAAGACCTGAGGTCAAATTTGTTCTTTGAAACAGAGAGGAGATCTAGCAGGTAGTCTGCGGATTTTTTTGTAAGTACATCGTGAATAAATAAGATCTGGTGTACAAGTCGTCGAACATTAAGAGATGTTAAGTTTGACCCAATGTAGAGATCACAGTGGTGAGTCCTATATGGGCAGTTCAATGCAAATCTTAAGGCCGAGTGATAGATGGAATCAAGCTTCTTCAGTACAGTACTTGGAGCTGATTTATACACGATATCACAGTAATCAAGTAGAGGCAGTATGGTAGCTTTTATCAATTCCAAACGGAACATAGGGGGGAAGCAGTGCTTGTGTCGATACAGAAAACCAATTTTTATTTCTGTCTTTTTACCAATATAATCAATGTGACCTTCAAAATTCAGTTTTGAATCCAGGATGACCCCAAGATACTTATAGAACTTGACTTGCTCTATTTGATCATTATTTAAGGAATGTAATTTGGGAAAAATAACTTCCTGGTTTAGTCCCGGTGAGAAGCATAGCACCTTGGTTTTGGAGGTATTTAGGACTAGTTTAAGAGCAACTAGCTGATGTTGTAGTTTGTTCAAATCACCCTGGAGCTTAGCAATCACGTCATCCGGAGAGCGGCCAGCAGTAATCAGTATCGTGTCATCTGCAAAAAGATTTACCCTGGAATGATCCGGGTCAGTGCCCAAGTCATTGACATAAAGAGAGAACAAGAGGGGGCCGAGGATGGAACCCTGTGGAACCCCTTTTGTTATCTTAACACTGTTTGACCTCCAACCATCTGTGAATACAGTTTGGGTGTTTTTGGAAAAACGGAGGCAACTTAGTTTACCAAGCAGGGTGTTGTGGTCTACTGTATCAAAAGCTTTGGACAGGTCAAGAAAAAGACAGGCACAGTACTGCTTATTATCAAGGCTACTGTAAATTTGATTCAGAGAGTCTAATGCAGCAGATGTGGTGCTGTATTTTTTTCGGAACCCAGATTGTTTTAGATGTAGTAGATTGTTGGTGGACAGGAAACTGCTAATTTGGTAGTTCAATAATTTTTCAAAAATTTTCATCAATGGGGACAAAGTTGAGATAGGTCGGTAGTTATTGGAATCATCTTTAGGGCCCCCTTTGTGAAGTGGACGGACATAGGAATGCTTCCATTCTAGAGGAACTGATGCTTCTTTGATGGACAGGTTGAAAATATGGGCTATAGGTTTGTATATTAGGTGACCAACAGTTAGTAGAGCAAAGACGGGAAAACTATCTGCTCCGGTAGAGGAGGACCCTTTGAGGTAGGACAGCTGTTGCAGAACATTACTTTCGTGGATTGGTTGGAAACTAAGTTCGTTTAATGTTTGGACAGGGGTGTAGGAATTTGCATGAGCAGGGGTGACTCCCAATACATTATCAAAAAGATTACCAGCTTCAGAAAAATGAAGGTTAAAATTGTCAACTATTTTTTTGGGATCTGAGAAATATTCCCCATTTCGGTTTAGCTCAACGGGCAGATTGTCTGTTTTGGATGCCTTTTTGATACATTTGATTGTTTTCCAAAAAATCCTGGCATTTCCATGTGATTCCAGGAGAGTGGAGGAAAAGTAGGCATTTTTTGTATGCCATATTTTTTTGACGCATCTATTCCTTAAAATCCTGTACTCTAGCCAGTCATTTACCAAATTATTTTTCTGAGCACATGCCCAAGCCTTGCCCCTAGTTTTCATGAGCTTTGTAATCAAAGGATCATACCATGGTGGGCGGTTGCCTTTTTTAAAAATCTAACCAACGGAGCATGTTTGTTAAGAATTTGGAGAAACGTGTACCTGAAAGTCTCCCAAGCCGTAGTCAGTTTGGGGATATCACAGATCTTGTCAATATCCGAGTGAAGCACATCATTAGTAAATGCCTGAGTGCTGAAGTGCCTCAAAGAGTGCTTCTCAACAATTTTAGGGGGGCTTTGTGTCTGGCTGATGATCTCACCCCAAAAATGAAGGAGTGATCACTAAGGTTATTTCCCAGAACACCAGTCAGTGCGAAATTGTAAGGGGCATTTATCAATAGGACGTCAAGCAGAGTTGACTGTCCCGGATTTTTTAGGTTGGGTCTTGTGGAGACATTTATTAATTGAAACAGGTTAAATTAATCTGTAAAATTTGTGGCCACGGCCGGCGGGTTTAGCCAATTCCAATTTAGATAACCCACTAAAACTATTTCACCTTTTGGGAGGCCCTCAAAAAGCTCTCTCAGTGCAGATGCAGCTTCAACATCCTTCCCACTAGGTGGTCTATAGCAGCACACTACCAATATCTGTTGATTATTTGGGAGAGTTATTCTGAGAGCTAAACCTTCAAAGCAACATTTTTTAAACAAGGAGTGAGCTGGTGAACATGCAATAGTATTACAAACATAGATGGCAATTCCACCTCCTTCAGATCCTCGGTCAAGCCGAAAAAGGTTGTAGTTGTCAATCGTAATCTGCAAGTCATTGACGGCAGGAGTGTGAAATGTTTCTGTTAGGCAAAAAATGTCCGGGTCAAGATTTGCCACTTCTAGTTTTAGTTCACTTAATTTAATCACAAGCCCTCTGATGTTGACATGTAGAACACCAACACCTTTTCTGCCAAAAAAATCTGAAGAATTATACGAGTTCTTTACATTTGGGCCAGGATGAAGCTCAATACCACCCAGAAATAAGAAAAGTAGAATTAATAGCTTGCACAAGTATTTTCTGTGAAAGGATGAAGAGCGGCGAACCTGGGACAAATAGCAGCAGCTCGCAGATGGTGTTATTTTTAAGAACAGAATGCAGTTTGGAAGGAGTGCTGGTGAAGTAATGGGACAAAGATAGGGTTTAAAAGGATACAAAGATGGAGTGTAGAAGTGTCTATGAGCTGTTTCATTTGCAGGTGTAGTGGCAAATCGAGCAACAAGTATGGACGCAAAGTAATGAGGGTAGCTGTTTGTAGAGTTGAGTGTGGCACTAGATATGGCCGGGAGGGACAGCAGTAGGATACACAGCAATATAATTGCCATCTCTAAAATATCCGGGGTGAACACAGATTAACACAAGCGGAAAAGAAAAAATATATACTTGTAGCTGCTGCTGTAGAAGTTGCTGTAGCAGCTGCTGTAGCTGGATCCGTTTCTGCGACTGTAACTGTTTCTGCTGCAGCAGCTGCTGCTGCTGTAGCAGCTGCTGTAGTAGTTGCAGCTGCTGTTGTAGCAGCTGCTGCTGTAGCTGCATCCGTTGTTGCTGTAGTTGCTGTAGCTGCTGCTGCAGTAGTCACAGCAGCTGCTGTAGCTGTTGCTGTAGTAGTCGCAGGAGCCGCTGCAGCTGCACCCGTTGTTGCTGTAGCAGCTATTTGTCATTCATGCAGAGATCCACGCTCCGTGAAGTTGTGCCTCCGTGTTCTGAACCCAGCGATATCTTGATTCAACGGTGGCTTAAAGTTCCACAAAGCCGCGCTCGCGTTCGAATGGTTCGCGTAAAGCGAAGGGTGCCGTGAGTTGGGTTTCCGCGTCAATCAAGTCCAAGGTGAGCGCGCCGAGTCACACTCCGTTTGCTATTTCGTTTCTCCATCTGTGAGCCTGCATGCGCCGCCTCGCCAATGAATCGGCCACGTGCTTTAATTGGCTGCTGAGTAAATTGTACATCCTACATGTATGCTTGCGTGCCTCGGGAATTATTGATGAAGCTGGTTTACCCACGGTAGCCTCGTCTAGTCTCGTGAGTGTTTCAGGAGGGTCCTGCCAACGTTTTTTGCAGTAAAGGGGGGCGATGACTGCTGTGTATATTTCAATCAAGTGATTTTGGAGTTTTTTTTTTTACATTTTATTTCAAATTCCGATAACGGCGCTGCCACACAATAGCCTACTCTTGCGAATGACCTAACGACATCTTTGACGCTAATACAAATCGCGGCATTAACTCTGCTAACCCCTCCTCCTTTTATTCAAAATGCAATATGAATACAACATGAGACGCGGTTATTTTTCGAGGGCTTTTTGTTGTTATATTTCTTCAATATTTTAAGATGAAGCTGCAATCTGGTGATAACTGCATCGTGGCAACATTTGCCAATGCTTGGAGCGGCGGCAATTAAGCGAAAAAACCGCGTTGTCTTCAGATAGGACTTTAGCCACGAAGTTTTAACAAATATGCAACAGAATCACTTTGCGTTATGCTTTTCGTTAATATTCCTGACATCCGCCGGGTCGCACACTGCTGCGATGATGCGAGGGTGTTTGATGCCGTGGCTGATCTGTGCTCAGGTGCGGCGCGCTGTAGCCGATGTCTCCGAGCAGCCGCGTGGCCCTGCCGCTTGGCCCTGCCGCGTGGCCCTGCCGCTTGGCCCTGCCGCGTGGCCCTGCCGCGTGGCCCTGCCGCGTGGCCCTGCCGCTAGGACCTGCCGCGTGGCCCTGCCGCGTGGCCCTGCCGCTTGGCCCTGCCGCTTGGCCCTGCCGCGTGGCCCTGCCGTCCATGCGCCCTCTTCTCGACGTCGTCGCGGCAGCTGATGGCCCTGCGCCACTGAACCGATGAGCCACCCTCCGCGGCACACCCTCACCGCGCCCTCCGCTTCTCCGAGCAGCAACTATGCATTTCCACATAAACCACTTTGAGCTATCATTTGGGGGCAATTATTAAAAAATAAAGTTTTTTTATTCGTATATTTTAAAGTTATTTGTTTACCTTTCCTATAGTTTAACACGTAGGTTTTCGCGACCAATATAATCCATGAGGTTTTTGGGTTAGATCGCGTAAATGTGTCGTTAAAACCCGCCACCACCCGACACAGCCAACTAGTGAGGGTTGTCACGTAAACAGAATATGGCAATTCGCCACTAGTACTCTACACCTATGCTTTGCACTCTGTTGTTGTAACGTTCTGTCCCGCCCCTATTGGACATCTGTGAAAGGGCTTTATAGCTCATCAGATTCCTTCAGTATAAGTATTTTGATTCAGACTCCAAGCGAAGGTGGAACGGGGCACGTGAATGCCCTGCGTCAAAGTGCACTCAGCTCCGCGCAGTGACACAGCCCCCGCTCGTATCTAGTTTCGTGCCACCATTGCCAGAGGCTGTCGAGTCCGCTCACAGCCCAAATGACCACGGAGCACGGTTCTCGTTCACGATGGCTGCGCCCATGTACCAACAAAATATAATTCAATTCCCACGATTTAATAGGTTTTGTGAGCCCGGCAGGGATATAATTTCAACCGTTAGTTCTGGCCCAGCAACGAGAACGCACTCTGGCACAAAGCCGTCGTGGCAACAAAGGTGCTCATAAGCGAATCACGATTCAAAAGCCCAAGCTGCAGAAAGCAATTTTTTTGGTCGTGGCCATTTACACGAAACACGGCTACAATTCACCACGCCACGCTCTCCCGTGACCCGACGTCAAGCGCAGCGAGTTCGCAAGAGCATTTTACACAAAACACCGGGTCACGTTTGTCGGGGCAGGAGCAACACGGTAGGGTCAACGTAGCAGGCAGGATCTGTAGCCCCCCCCCCCCCAACACACACGTCTGCAAGACCAAGACCTCACCTTGAGGTCCTGACTGCATCTCAGAAGATGCGTTGTGCCCTTGTAGGGAATAGCTTTCACCCTCGTAAGTCAATGGATACGCAATAGCCAATTCTACTGCTCGCTCACGGCATCTTAAAACCATTTTATTACACGCTTTCATTTAACTCAGTCTGTTGTTGTATCCTCAAATTTTATAACTCAATTTTAACCCACTTCCCAATGTGGTATCGACTGCAAACTTGGTATACTTATGTCATACCGATGACAATACTGTTGTATCAAACATTTTTAAACATTCTTTTTTATATTATTGGTACATTAAAAATAACCGCCACTTTTTTCATTTTTTTTGCTGTGATTTTCACACCTGATGACGATTGCTTGTGTTGCAGTCGAAACGTCGTGAGAATTTTGTTTTATATTTTTATTGTTTCCCTTCTACCTGACTTTACCGAAAAAAACAAGAATATGAATCCCTGCAGTCACGAAAGCTTTAAATCAATTTGTTGTTGTTTCGACTTGGGCCTTGTCCACGGTCAACTGACGTTGGCTGTAGTTGGCCACGGTCCCTGACGTTATGGCAAGCTTCGGGGCCACTTCCTGGAGTCGTGGAGTTCTGCCATTACTAGTACATTTCATAAAAGCGTGTTTTAAAAGTATTACTTATATTAAAAGGTTATCGTGTCGATTCTCTACTCTTGCTACTTTATTTAATCAAGGGGTAAAGAGGTTGCTCCAGCAAGCAAGACTCTTCTGGGTAAAGGAATTTCGAATGGTTATCAAGTTTCACTCTCACGACATGCCACCATCACTTGCACACGAAGATAACGATTCACCTCCACACAAAGCTGACATTGATTCTCAAAATGTTGGGGGGGGGGGGGTGGTCATGCTACAATAATCTCTTGTTTTGACCATCTTGCACTTTTTTTGTCGTTTCGTTTGTAAATTTTCACGCGAAATTCACGTGTTCGCTCCCAGTCAACGGCTTGGTACAAACGCCAGCCCACTTGTAGCACATTGCTTGCATAAATGCGCACCGACATTTAATTTGGCATTCGATGCGTATCGCAACCGAAATAGCTTGCGATAAGTTATCGTTCATCGACCCACACGGAATACAGTGAATAAAACATGTGGAAGTGCAAACACATCGACCAATCGGTCCTACATAAAAAATGGTGGAAAATTTGTTAAAGTTTATTGCAAAGATGTTCTCTCAAACCGTGCTGTGTTCAGTAAGATATGCAGAAACATCACAATGGCGGAACGCACCTGAAGCAAATCGTGCACACTCATGCAAGATGTTTACTGAAGGACCCTTTATTGAATAAACCAGCGGTGGTTAAAGGCAAGACTCATTTGCATTATACAGATTTCAGATACAAGCCGAGTTGATGACGCGTTCATTCTTTATCAATGGTTCACAAAGACTGGTTTCAAAGTCCACAGCACAGGGCGCCTGGAGGATCCCAGCCCGGTGTAGGAGGGTGCTGTGCTTTCCATCCGCAGGCATCAAGTTGTAACAGCTGCAGTTCAAAGACGAATCAAAAAGTTGTCGTATCTCAAGATGAAGAGGCGGAGATTCCAGGTTACTGGGGGGAAAATAAAAGAGACGCACAGTGATTAAAACTCAAGGGGAAAAAAGCCACCGTCACTGCACGGGTAAACACCAGACCACGTAAACACTCAATCGTTCACGTGTCAGCATTGCCGGTGCAGACGTTCATTAAAACACGCGTGTGCGTGGTACGGGTTGTACAAGACTGGCAGCGAGTGTAGACGGATCGTTAACATGGTGCAGGGCACGCTTTCCCTTCAACGACGCGCGTGCTGTGATGCAGAAACCCATACTTAAATCACCGCCGTGGCACTCAAAGAGAACGGGGGGCCGCACGAGCATTACAACAACCATAGGCAACAACACCCACAACAGGACATAGCCACCCATCACTCGGGATGCTTGCACACTCGTGTGCGTCCACTGTGACCAAAACAAACTCTAGCTATGACCCAGCACGCATAAAAGGCACTTACGCATTTCTCAATTTCCAGGCCATCCTTGAAGAAAAGCATGTAGGGCGTGATTCCGTCCTCGCGGAAGTTAAGAAGGGCGACCATGCCGTCGGGGTTCATGCTCTCACCTGTGAAAAACTACACACGGAGACACAGAGAATAAGTACGCAGACTCCACACAGTAAAGAGACAGCACACTTGATGTACACACACACACAGGAGTTGAGTGCTGTGATTGCCTGTCATGCCAGTTTTTGCCGGCAACAGTCACCAGCAATGCATTCACTGAGGGCAACCCTTACAACTCATTATGGCAATGGCATAAGAGTGATTCGGTTCTGTCAGTCCCAGTAAAACTAACTCTTTTACAATACAAAATGGTGCAGAAATATCTGAAGGAGACTAATGTCCTAATATTGCCCATGCCCATCTGATCTTACACTGGGCGCAAGAGATGTGCTGCAGTGCGGTAACAGTGTGGTCACGTGAGCCACGAAGCTTGCCTGGAAATCCTTGAATTGCTTTAAGACATCTTTAACCTTCTTGGCAGCAGCAGTCATGAAGGGTTCCACCTTCTCCGGGTGTTTCTCCATCAGGTTTTCCTTAATCCTGCAGGAGATATGCACAGGTGGACGTGAGGGGTGAGCAATGGACAAAGGGGTGGTGGTGGGTGCTTCACCTCACCCGACTCCCACCGCCTGCGCCGGGCTCACCCAAGCCACTACGATCCAACGTTTGTAATCACGGTTTACAAGCACGAGCCGTGTCACGCCACAGGGTCACACGCACAAGTAACCTAAGGCTGGAATATTTAATGACAAAAACAGAAAACCAAATGAAGGCACTTGACAACTTTGAAATAAAAATGCATTTTGCTCAAGGTTTCAAACATCACCTGTAACAGCCTCAATGTAGAATTCAGATAAATTGCAACGGTTGCACGACAATAGGCGTGCCCTGCAGGGCCACACCAGTCTGTATTTTAAGCGGGGCGATTTTTACATTGCCGCAGGAGGGCATACGTTCTCATTGTGTGGCGCATAAGACTGTTGGGCCTACATCCTGGGAGGGGGAAACGGAGAGATGTAGTCTTGGAAGACGCACGTGTGTACGTGTAATGGCCATGCCAATACATTGATGGACGAGGACCTCGCCACAAGCCATTGGGGCCGTTTGACCGCACTCCACCAAGCTGTTGAGTGCAGGCTGGTGAATGTGGGGAGCACACTTAAATCCCAACTCCGCTGCAGTGAGACTTGCCTGCGCACAACCCCGCTGTCCGCAGACAGTCACTGCAGCAGAAGTAAATATCTAAAGGTGCTCTATAAATTGAAATAAGGTCACAACTTGACGTAAAGCTTTAAAGCCTGCAGGAATTCATATTCTTTGGGTCTTTCTGTAAAATCACATAGATAGGTTAATAATTAATAAAAATAAACAAAAAACCAAGACGTTGCTGGCCCCAGGGCCCTTTGTGCCTCGCCCATCTTAAACCTTTAAAAACAGCTTGCCTTTAGGATTTTCCCCTCTTTTTTCCACCTGAAGACGGTCGCGTGTGTTGCGATCGAAAGGTCGTGGTTTTTATTTTGATTAAATTTGAGCCTGTGACTTTACCGAAAAACCCAAAGAATAAGAGAACACGCATACAGACACTGCTCTGCCGGCACTCGTCAATGTAAGTCGGGCAAGGAGAGTTGGGATGGTCCGGACCGGCACGCGACACTCACGTCTTCATGTAGGCCTTGATGTAGGCGATGTACTTCTCCTTGCTGAAGCTGGTCTCCTGCAGTTTGTGGTTGAGCACGATGTCCACGCCGGACACTGTGGACGACTCCGACGAATCAAATTCTCCCCCCTCTGCCGAAGCGTTTCCGCCAAAGACCGCGTCGTCGATGTCGCCTTCCACCCGGGACACCATCTGCGCCGCGCGAGCCCAGCAATGGCAGTGTCAATGGGGGGGGGAGTCATCGGGGAAGTGGACGCGGATCTCACACCGACCCCCTCAACGTGGCCACCGTAGCTCGCAAGCAGACGTGGGGGTACAGAAGGGCATTTAATCCCTGCGCCTAGACAAAAAGTCCGCAACTAGGGGGTTGCCAACGCACGATATTTTCACGAAATACATCGAAATACTGCATTTCACATTCTTATATAGTTTATGCCGTGCTTCAAGTAGGAACAAATATGACAAATGTTCAACTGCAGTTCACTAAACAAAACTGCAATATATACTCAATCAGATAGAGCACAGTTTCCACGAGGACCCTTGGTGGATTGTGTAACTAAAACAAAAGTGCAACCAGTGTCCTTAACAAAAAATATTTGCACGTTTAAATTTACATTTTTGTCAATCCACTTTTGGATGAGGGTCTCCCCATTCTGCGCAGGTCATGCGGGTTACTTCACCATACTCCGGAACCCTGGTCAGTGCAGGTTGGTAAAATGCAGGGAGCAATTAGGCAGGGGCATAGTTGTGCAATGAATGTTGCTGCACTGCCCTCTACTTATCGCCACAGTATACAACGCCTGCTTTTCATTGTGACGATATTAGCTGCATTCCACAGGATTTGGCCAGAGGATTGTTAAAATTCTTAATTTTCCACAATCATGAAAAATACCTGCTCAATGTGCCGAGTGACCAAAATAAGGCCTCGACAAGACCCTAGCAGTTACTTATCATGGTAGTAGCTCTTCCGGCACACACTCCATTTGCTCAAAACAAGTGGCGGCACATGATATTTCACACTGGCCCAAGGGGCGACAATCCAGCAGGGTCTCATTCTGGCCAGTGCTTTTACTGGCCATCAGACACTGTGGGCAAAGTACAGAGGAAACTAAGTGGCACAGGAAACATTAACTTGGCTTAAGTGTGTGTCAGGAGTCACAGCTCTATACAGTAAACACACACATTAATAGTCGGAAATTAAGGTATGCCTGGAGTGAACAGCGATATACCATTTTCTATATATTCTAAATGAATGCTTTTGCATGCTGGATCCATCGTGGAGTTTAACCATACTTAGCCACTCGTTAGTGTCGGTTGGTGAACTTGGCGGGACCGGTTCGCATATCGTAACTTTTAAGATTTCAGGTCGCTGCTGCGCACCATAAATTTCGCAAACAAAAAAAACGATGGACTCGCTTCGAGTCTCATCAGCAGCGTGCACGCCCGAGTGTTGCCTTGCCAGACGTTCTGGGCCACCACCTTCCGCGTTGGGTTGGGGGGCGCCCCGTTCTACCGAATAGCAATCAACAAGATGGGTACACCAATTACGTCCAGCCGTTTTGCGGCTTTTAAAGTTACGCAATGTGCAAGAGGATTGACAAATCGCACCGCGCGCGTCCCTTCTGCCAAAAGGGTGGTGGCGTCAACATCCGGCTCGCCCCCCCCCCCCAACGTGACGCACGCGGCGTACCGCCGGGGGGGCTCCATGCGCTCGTTTCAAATTAACGTGGCGACCCTGCCATACGTATCGTGTCGGGTGGGGGCCCCCCTTCTCTCATTGAATCCACGGGCCACTCCCGTCTGGGAGTGAGCGTCTATAAGCGCTCCTTGTTTAAGGCGCGCGGGAGTCCCAGCCAAGGCGGTGTGCCAGCACAGCCCCACACACACGTCTTCAAGGGCTCACGGGCGAGGAGGTAAGACACCGCGCCAAGGCGACCGACACCGTCAGCCAGGGGAGTGGGGGCCGAGCCAACTCCGAACAAAGCGGCCGGGGCCCATTGACCCGAGCACACGGCACAAAAGCTGGGGGGGGGGGGGGGGAGAAGCGACGCCCTGCCGAGGAAGGCCCTCACATACGAGGCCCCTTTTCACCCACCCATGGACCTGTTCATTTCCTTTTCTTTTCAACTGCTCCGTGTTTCGTCTTTGTTCTCGCGTCAGTCTCCCCGCGCCTTTTGCCCGCGAAGCCCCAGGCCGCCGACGCCATTACGCGGCCGCTTACGATTCCCCACCGCACACGGGGCGACCCGCAGGCCTCTGCAGCCGCTGGCTGGCGGAGGCCGCGGGCCTTGGCGCGTCAAGGGCCCCCGGCGCGGCCAATGCGGGGGGCGAGGCGGCGGCGCGCAAGCGGGCTGGGGAATGTAAAAGTGGCGGGGGAAGAGGGAACCGGCTTAACTCACCGTGCCTTCCACCTCGAAGCAGGCGCCGTCCGCCGTCTCCTTGATCTTGTAGATGTCCGAGAACATCTCGTCCCCTGCGGGCGGGGAGAGTGAGCGAAGCATGGACGCGATTGGGATGAGGCGAGACCGACCGGCGGTGGCGGCCATGGCGGCCGGTAGCTATGGCGGCCGGCCGGCCGGGGCCTTCGTTTCGGAATTTAAACATTTTACCAGCCTCGGCAGATCAATATCGTGGAAATAACGAGTGGGCGCCACGCAGGAGGTGTTTGCGGCGGCGAGGGGCCCACTCACCGGTGAGGATGTCCTTGTAGATGATCATGGTGAGGCGTATTAAGATACCCACACTCAGCCTGGGCGGCCCTGCTGCTGTGGCGCGGATTAGACAAGAGGCCGAGCGGCCGTGGGCGGGCGCCTAAAGAGGCCGCGGCGTGACGTCAGCGCGCACGCCCATGACGTCGACGCGCAGCCACAACGGTCTGCCTCCCGCTGAAGCTGCAATGCGGGGCGTAGAGACGTAGTGACGTCGCTCCGTTTCATGTTAGGGCCACGCCTCGGCCGTTTCATCCACCTGACGTCATTACGCATTGGCGAACGTTCCCTTGTACGCTGATGTCACCGCGCCTCACATCCCCGTTGCTGGCGTTGCAGTTCTACGTAATCACGTATTTAAGGGGGACGGTCATTCGTTCACATTTTTCCACCCGACTGCATTGCGGGCAGTCCCGCGACGTCATGACATCATCGCGCAGACACCCTTCGATTTAATCCGAAGCGAATGCGGTGCGCGGTGACGTCACGATGGCTGTGACGTAATCACGCAGAGTTTGAGTCATTCTCCCTCCCCCATTGACCTGCATTGCGGTAACAAAAACCCCTCCTTCCCATATGTCCTTCCATATGAAATATACAAACATATTTTATATTTATCATATCCCGACAGCCACACGGCCTTCTGGGAATTCATCATTTTAAGCAATTTGTCCAATCCAAGCACATTCGTGTCCAGTCTCGACTCTCTCACGAGCGGTCAGACTTGCACATCACAGGACTCTGGGTGATATCTGGCAGGTCGCAAGCATTGCTTCAAGCAAAGCCCGACCGCTGATGAGACACTGAATGTCAACACCGGCAGGTTTGCTGGCCAATGCCGCCGAAATGATGCCCTCACCGAAGGCCATGTGGCTGATGGGATGAGTAAAAACTAGTTTACAATTTTCGTCGACAAATAAGGGGTGTCTTTGGCCGCTTGGTGATATTGCTGCCGCTATTCTCCGTCACACTCATGATGCCTCGATAAAAGATCGAGCCTGAAGCCCATGCTTAATGTAAAGCGCTGTGCTGTAAAAACCAAACGCGAACCGTATGTTGTTACGTAACTCACGTTGTCCATTATTATTTTGTTTATCCCAGTCAAACTTAGCGGGCTTCCTTCTTACATTATTTTTTGCATAATGCTAAGAGTTGAGTTTACTTTACGTACGACATAAAAATTTCATCTTAGTCCGATTATTTGGCTGTACAGTACATTGAATCTTTTATGCAATGCAGGGCTGCATTAAATTCCTCCGCTAATTTAAATATTCGATCTCTATCGTACCGGTTCCATCTTTCTCCCGAAGGTCCAGGCATTTATGAACTGCCCATCATAAACTTTCCATTGGCTGCTCTCCTGCTCCCATTTTTTGCTAGGATGCCCAATCGTATTGTCGTTGTGGTTCAAACAGCCCATGTTGTTTTTGTTGTGGTCAAACAACTCCCTCGTTAGCACACATGGCAAGCGAATTGTATGCGACTGTTTGGAAGACACGATGTACTTCGTGAAACAGCATTGCACGGCGCGTACTCAAATGTAAAACTCACCCGCACATGCATGCACCACCAACCCTGCCTGGCGTGTTCTCCACACGTGAGACAGCCACGGAGGTGGAGGGGTGTGGTAGGCACAGTTCTTGATCTAAGGAATTAAAGAGGCCCCCTGTCGAATATTCCCCGTCTTTGTAGCCCGGGCTCCCCTGTCCCACGTGTCCTGATGTAGTTGCACCATCGGCAAAACTCGGTAGCTATTCCACCAAACAGCCTTCAAACGAACTTTATAATTTCACAGACTTTAAAAGCCATAGTGATGGGAGATGGTTGGGTGGGTGGGTGGTTGGCAAGGTTCATTGGTAGGACGCGGTAAAAAAAAAATACCGGCTGGCTTTATTATCAAGCGTCCCAACAGCCCAGCAGAACTTACAACCGATGGAATAGCAGCAGCAGCTCGGTGTACAGCGAACTCGGCAGAAGAGTCCCATACACGCACCACAGTTCACGAGTCGAGGCCACAGAGGTGGCTCCCCCAATTCCAGACGGAAGGGATGGATGCTCCACAGCAGCTGTCATCTGCTGTCTTGCTGCAGCAGCCATGCAGGTACTTCGGAGCAAGTTTGCGCTCTTCACAGTTGCACGAGGCATGTGTTCACGAGTTCATTTAACGTCAAGAATGAAACGACGGCCGATATCGCCACTGCAACAAGGATTCAGGTCCCATCGCAACTAGCTCCACGTCGCTCAGTCATTTTGCACCGGGTAAAAAATACACTCTTCAGCATCACGCACCTCTGCTTGTCCGTCAAGAGTTTGGTTAAACCGCACCCCGAGCCGCGGTCTGGTCAAGTCCTCCGCATCGGTGAATATGAAGGCTGCACTCGTGCGCTCGCACCGTGACGGGCGTGATCGGCCGAGTGGCAAAACCGTCCGTACGGAGTCCCAGTCTCCATCAATGGCAAGAGCAGTAACAGCCCCGTCATACAAATGAAAATTTAAGACACACTGTGGCAATTAAAACATTCTAAGCAAAGCCTCCAGTGAACAAAAAAAACATCACACATTAAACGCCCCATTTTCTAGGTATTTCTTTTACTGAAAAAGGAAAATAGCAACTTACTGTGAAAACACAAAACACGTTAGCGTGAATCAAAGTATCGGACCGCCTGTTGTAAAATGAATGCAGTGCTAACATGTGTTGTCTACACAATGTAACATTCAACTGCAAGATTTCGACAGAAGTTGGCACCACCGATTAGTACAGTTGGCTACGTATGGTGCGAAAGAAGTTCAACATACAAAGCCAGTTCTGGGGAAACATTGAGATTTAAAATCTGATGCAATCTGGGCAGGCAGTAATGAGTTTCTGTGCAGTTCCAGTGAAAACGAATGCCACAAATGTTCTTTATATGACAGCATTCCAGGTGGGTTTCCCAAAGTCTGTTCATCAGAATCACATTGAGACCAGAAAATACTCTGGAAAGGAATTTCAGCTCGAGCATTGCTGACCATATTCTTAAAAAATACAGCACATCTCAAAAGAATCTTGCTTGAAAATTCCAATTTCGGTCCGAGGCGATGGAAGTCATGAAAAAAAATTCACTGTCAAACAAACAGCAGACAAAATTCCTCCAGTTCGCGGTATGTCCTAGGAAAACAGTTTTTTTTAATGAACAGTTCCCCGCGAACTCTACGGGACGACAAAGCAGGGTGAGGAGGACAACGATCGGTCCGCCGGCATCTTGTTTAGGACGTCTGGGACGCCCAAGCATACGTCATCGCTGGGCGACAGGGGCGGCACTCCCGCACGCCGTCGCTTGAACAGCCTTAGGCTGGCTCTCAGCAGCTCGGGGTCCAGGCTCGGTGCGTTCGTGTAGGGCTGCTGGCCTCCGATCTGCACGAGAATGAGAGGGCAGCAACTCTGGTACCGTCAATGCCGCCGCCGCCTCCGCACGTGCCCAGCGTTATTTATATCATATGTTTATCCACGCACCTCCAGCGATGTCTCTAGTTTAGAAGCAAATCATAAAAATTGCGAGCAGCTGTCTGGTTAAGCAAGTATAACATTCGGGTATAATTAAACCTTTAATTTAAACTTAATTAAATTTTATATACATCATTTTAACATAATTTCATTGTTTGGCAACGCAGCCATGTTTTTTTAAACATGTTCTATCTCAATAGGCTCTCAACACATCACAAGATGTTCTAATGAAATTTAAGAAGAAAAAAATACAGATGATAAAATTAATTATTTGGTGATGCTGCTGCTGCATTGGCAGTCGTGCCCAAGCATGACATTAATATTGCCTTGAAATGTAATTTATGTGCGCTGAGAAAGAACCACTGCCCGAAACGTCACCGATTATTTATTTCTCATATTCTTAGTTTTTTCGGTAAAGTCACGTTGAAGAGAAACAACAAAATAACAAAATATATATAAAACAATAAAAAATTCTCACGACGTTTCGACCATAACTCAAACGGTCATCATCAGGTCATCAGGTGATGATGACCGTTTGAGTTATGGTCGAAACGTCGTGAGAATTTTTTATTGTTTTATATATATTTTGTTATTTTGTTGTTTCTCTTCAACGTGACTTTACCGAAAAAACTAAGAATATGAATGACTGCAGTCACGAAAGCTTTAAATCAATATTTATTTCTCTTTTAAGGTCACAGTGTTATCAACGAATGTGTTGGGATTATAAAGTACATCATTTTCGTAAGAAATGTACATGTAACAGAATAGCCCTGCACATTTCTCAATCTACTGCTGGAAGAGCCTCTCCACGCCGTGCGGGTCGTGGTGGTTAATTTACCATACTTCACCATGCTGATTAGTGGGTAGAATGTGAGCAGCAGAAATGGGAGCGTATAAGTACAGGACAACTGAATTTCGTGCACTGCCCTCTGCTGTCAACCTGCTGCACCTTGTTTGTGCACGGTGATCACTCACCAAAGCGCGACGCAAGATCAACCCTGCCTAGCATCTGAGATCTGACAAGATCGGTCACATTACGGGTAAAAAATACGGTCAAAGACCTAAAACCCCACATCTGTGAAAACCTGAAGTGAACCCGCGAAGACGGATTAAGCCCCACGCTAGATGCCACGCTCGCTTCGCGGATCAAGCCGAGCGAGATGGCTTTTGGGCGCTCCCCGTGTTCTCACCTTGCCGCTCAGCATCTGCCTGCGAATGGCGAGGTCCCGGCGGTAGCAGAGAGCGCGGTGGCATGGTGCAGCCACGTGCAGCACGGCCGCCTGCTCATGTCGGCGCCCCAGCACGGCCCGTCCCAGCGCCCCCAGCTCCTGCTCCAGCATCGCCTCCACGTCTGTGGTGCGATGGCAGGGGGGGTTGGCGGTGGTGGTGGGGGGGGGGCGAGGGCGGTGAGAAACGAGTGACGCTGTCGGCACGGTGCGCTTTCTCACTCACGGGCAGCGCCCTCTCACTGATAACCGCTGCTAAACGTGCATCTATTGTAACTATTAACAAACTATTACAATTTTATCAGAAAGGCCCACTGAGCTATATAGCTCTTTTGCAGAAGCAAGGTGGCCACAAATGGCTTATTACATGGAAATGTAAAGCAGCCAAATGATCTAAACGCACGATGTTGATTTTCACAATGTGGAGTGAAAAACAAGAGGACACGGAGAAAAATCCACTTGACCATGTGGAGAATAATGCAAAATCCAAATATACAGGCAACAGGGTCAGGATCAAATCCACGACCTCCTGTAGACCTGGCGAGGTAGATAACATCTCGCCACCGTAGCATCCCTAATCGCCAATCCCAGTAAAGATCCTCCGGGGATTTAATCTCGACCTCAAAAACAATGATTCATGTTTGCTCAAATCCACACATGTCATGGCAGATCTGTGCATAAGCTTCACGAAAGGAAATTATGAAAAAAGTACAGCATGTGATGGCAGAAACACCAACCAAACCATAGTTCACTCCAAGAAATCCACCACACGTCAAATTAAGCCATATTGTGGCTGCTTATATCCAGCCATATGCAAGATACAGTGATAACCATCTCATTGCTAGTGAATGAATACCAGACAATTTGGATTTGTACAGCATCCATATACAACATCGGCCAGTTTCCAAATTAGAAAAATGACCCATAAATTACTCAATTGGGATTACACATCACAATCATCACCCCCTGCTGACAAGAGTAATGCCTGCTCATATGCCAGATGCTGAGGTCACCTGGTGCCGCACAGGGACAAGCTGGCACTGGGGGTGCCCTTTCAATGTTCGAGATGAGATGTAAGTGTATCTTGACGTGTAACGCTTTGTGAGACACCCCACTGTGAGGCTCGCTATCTCAAGAACTATTTTTTATTTAAAACCACATGTTGAAAATAACCGATTCTGATGTGCACGATTCACCACGCATTCAGTTGTGGTGCGTAACAGCGCGGGCGCAACGGAGAGCTACCCGGGGCGCTGGCAGAAGTCTCCTTGCAGGCGTCGCGGATTCGCTGCAGCAGGCGTGGCCCGGCCAGGCGCGCCGACACGCCGAGTCGCAGGAGCACGGCGCCCGGCGTGAAGCGCAGCAGTGCCATGCCGGCATCGCGCTGCTCTCCGTCCACCTCCTTCGACTCGTTCGCCAGACTCGACCAGTCCACCGCAGCCACGTCCGCGGGGTCTGGGCACAAGAACCAGACGAGAGGCTTGGCTCGACCTACGCTGTCGCCCGTCAATGACCTAATGCCAGCGGACACCATTAGACTAGACAGAGCATACTGGGTTGGTTGCGTGGCACGTCCACCCTGCGGTACCATTACAATTGTACGAGCAGGAGCACTGTCGGAATTTGTCACGCGGAGTGGACGGCGCCGAACAGCCGAGCGATCCCCGCGTTGTCAGACGAAGCTGCCCCTGCAAGTTGGATTGGGGATGCGGCACCTGTCTGCTTGTTGGGGTCACGTGACCCGTCTGCGCCGTCGGCCAGCATCTCATCCAGTTCGTCGTCGCTGATGGGCTCGTACTCTTCGTACGAGGCTCCTGACGGTCCCATCTCCGCGTCCCTTCCTGCACGGGGTGCCGGCAGCAAGGCGGAGCCGGGAAGGCACGAGGTGACCCAACCCCCGTTATACACGAGAAGAAGAGAACACGAGACGTTAGAAGTAGGCCTGTACCGATTCACCCACCCTTCCCCCCTTATCCTCTGGTGATCTGATGAATTATAACGATTCCAAGCCCTGATTTGACTCAAGAGTCATATCCTTTTCTTTTAAATTGATTTTACCATCTCGTTTTAATTTTTTTGTAGTTGTTTGCTTGAAAACAAAATGTTAAATTTGCAATCCATTTGCACAATTGAAATACTCCATTCTTCTATAATTCAAGAAATGCATTGCGAGTGCAAAACTCTATTAAAAATTATCAATCGATGCATTGCTACTTGTCACCATAAAACGTGGCGTCGAGCGAGTCGCCACTGTTCGCGGCCTGCGAAAGCTCTCACCGTCGGCAGTGTCGACCGCTCGCCCATCGTGGCTGCCGTGCTCCTGCGCCGCTCGAACGGCGGCGCCGTCCTCCGACTGCCGCGCGGTTCCGAGTTCGGCGGGCAAATCCCCGCGGGGCGTGCCCGCTAGGCCTGGCACCGGCGGTCCGTGGTGGTGGTGGTGATGGTGGTGGTGCTGGTGGTCGAACGGCGCCTGCGGCCTGTCGCCGTCGCGCTCTCGCTCGCGGTCCCCGCGTCTCCGGTCCCAGTTGCGTGGTGGTGCCCCCCCACGCTCCCGGCCGTCGTAAGAGCCGGCGCGGGCGTGGCCCCAGCGACCCGACTCCGGTGAGCTGTGTCGCGAGCCGCGGCCGTGTCGGTCCACGTCATGGCGTTCTGTCGGCGGATACGACGGCGTTACCGGCGCCCGCTCAGAGCCGCGATTAACACAGGGCGGCAAACTCTCAACGATGACGGCCGTTTTCTTGTCGGTGCCAAGAACCACAGATGCACCAGGAGGAGCGATATATAAAACCAACGACACAGGTCTTATATAAAAACGATAGGGGTAAAATTAGCGTGTTCAGACATTGTGATGTCATCTGAAAATGTGAGCGGTAATCAGCCCTCCTAACAGGTCTCTCATCTCTCTCCCATTTATTTCGCCTTGACTAATCTGTATCTCTTTGCGTCTCGGCAAGCTGTGTGTCTCAGCGGCCACTCTCAGACTCCCAGAGCCTCGGGTTTGCAAGATGGCAGTTTCAGTACCCGGACTCATCCATTAATTTCCTGAACCAAAGTTGGTGCATTATGGGGCTTTTGAGAATGGAATACAACTGGACCCAAGGCATGTGTGCAAGGCGAGCTACCAGAGCCATTGGCAGAAGTTTCGTTTGCAAGCGTCACCGTGTGTAGTACGCTATATTAAAAAAAAAAATCATTACTCTCAACGTGAAAGGTGAGTAGTGTCTCACCGGACGAGCCAGACTCTTCCCGGCGAAGCTGCTCCAGGCGGGACGAGCGTCGGTCCAATGACCGCTCGGCACTGCGGTTCCTCCGCCGGTCACGGTCGGCCTCGCGCGATCCGGCACGCGGTAGCGGCGGTGTCGCCGCAGCTATATCCTCCGTGCCCAGTACCAACGCGGACGGCGGCGGCACCACCCCCATGCCCATGGGCTGGAGGCCCATGGGCAGGCCAATGGGCAGGACCGTGGGGAGGCCCGCGGGAAGGCCCACGGGGAGGCCCACGGGGAGGCCCACGGGGAGCAGGATGGGCTTATGCAGCCCGATGGTGGCGGCGCGGTCTTCCTCGGCGGTGCGGGCGGCGCGCTGCGGGGACTCGGTGGAGGTGGAGCGGCGGTGCCGGCTTGACGTGCGGCTCTGGTTGCTGCCAATGCTGCTACTGCGGCCGTGGTGCTCGCACAGCAGGCTGGCGTGGTCACGCATCGGCCTGGGGTCACACGGAGTGCGGTGCACGGTTTCTTTATTTGCACCCCGTCATTCATGGTATTGCAAAAGCCTCTTTTTGAGGTTCTTGTGCTTCTTGTCTTGCGCTCTTTGGGGCTGAGTGGCCATGTCTCAGCTCCATACAGCAAACACGACGGAACTCCTTTGTTACCAGGTCTCTTTGCGGACTCTTGGGGCAACGGTGGGATGACTGCATTTAACCGGAGGCTAACTGCTAAGTGCATGACATGACGGCACTTGGGAATGTGGCTTGCTTCCCCTTGGTTGACTGCCCACCAGGTTCTCTGAGCTACAGGACCTCATAGGTGGACGAGGAAGCCGAGGGGTAGGCCACAGGGCTTGCGGCTGCATTCAAATGAGCGTTACTGTCGAGACTCGGAGAGAGCAAGGGTTGGTATCAAGCACTTACAACAATCGGCTAAATACTTAAAGACAGAAAAAAGCAGCACTGAAATTTACAGGGTAAGCATCTCGCTGATAATCAACTTGCCCACGCACGCACCGTGCGTCTTCCCTGCCGCGGCTGTCCCTGCGTAGGTCCTCGAAGCCGCGCTCCACCAGCAAGCTGTCCACCCAGCCGGGCCGATCGCCCTCGCGAGCCAGGGGCGCCAGGGGCACCAGGGGCGCCAGGGGCGCCAGGGGCGCAAGGGGCGCCAGAGGCACATCGCACCGGAATCTGCCGTCCACAAAACCCACCACGGTTGTGCCACTTACTTCACCGTCCATGGCTAAGACTGTGGGCAGGCGCATCGCGACAGCGCTCGTCGTGGTTCTCCCACAACCACCAATCCTCGGAGAGGCCCACAACACAGTCGCTAATAGGTAAAGCGACAGACTGAATGGTACAGCATTTAAGAGAACAGCCCAATTGAAACTCCTTAACCAGCATCTGGCAATGCAGAACGCTTGGTGGTGCAGCAACGTGGGTCAGAGACGTCCCGGAGTAATGAGAGAGAAGTCATGATATCCGGAGAACTTTGCCCTTCACTGAAGAAATAAAACTGTGTGACACCATGACTACTTACTGCTTGTTCTACACCAAGAATATCACGAATTAGTTTTTTTTATTATCAGGATAATTAACATTGTTTGCCACGATATCCACGTGGCTAATGTATTGAGGAAGAGGTGAATATTTCGACAGAGAGTAATTCAGTTTAACAAGTAGGCTTTCGCAACTAATATCATCCATAATAGAGGTTTTTTGGGTTAGATCGCATAAATATATAAATGTGTCGTTAAACCCGCCACCACTAGACATAGCCAACTAGTAAGGGTTGTCACGTAAACAGAACGTGCCAATTCGTCACTAGTACAGCACACCGGTGTGTTGGAGAGCCAAGCCACAACATTTACAACCTGGGTAAATGTTGTGGAGAAGTCCACCTGTTCCGTTCCTTATATAGAGGCTTAGATGTGGTGACCACACTTCTGCACTCTTGTGCAAAGTGGGGGGGGGATTAATGAGTCTACATTCATTATGCATGCGTATTATGCGCATGTTGAAGTTCTGAGCAAAACTAGCTACTAGCTAATTGAAATAAATATAATTTTAACCGTTCGGATAGCTAAAGACTTAGTGCTGCGTGGAAGCGAATCATCAAATAATACATTGTTTAAATGCCTGCCTATACAGGCCACCATCCTTCAATAGGGATTACCGTTGGTATGCTATTTTAATACACACAATAGACAGGAAGAACAAGTTCAAAGGGCTCGCATAATAAGCATGCATAATGAATGTTGACTCATGAATCCCCCCCCCGCACCCTCCACAAATCTGGCTGTCGCCTGATGAAGCTAGTGGTAATTACTGGCGAAACGTCGTACTCAGGTTGTAAATATTGTGGCTAGGCTCTCCAACACACCGGTGTGCTGTACTAGTGACGAATTGACCACGTTCTGTTCAAGTGACAACCCTTACTAGTTGGCTGTGGCAGTTTTTAACGACACATTTATATATTTATGCGATCTAACCCAAAAAACCTCTAATAGAGAGGAATTCAGATAGAGGGAAGAGTGGGCAGAGGAGAATGGAACGGAGAGAGAGTGACTCGCCTTCCGTCCTCAAAGTCCCGCTCCAGGGCGGGGTCGCGCCGTGCGTGGAACCACTCGAGCCGGTGGGGCTCGGCGGGCGGCAGAAAGCCCACGGGCGAGAAGCAGTGCTCGTCGCGCACCGGCGCCTGCCTGCGGAAGCTCTCGCCCTGCTCCCGCTCGAGCTCAGCGTCGCGCTCCCAGGGGACGACGGCCGTGTTGCCGCGCCGCTCGTCCGCTCCCCCGTGCTCCCACCGCTCAAACTCCGGCCCCTTCTCGAAGGCCTCTCCGCCGAGGGGCCGCGGCCTCTCGGCGTGGAGTCCGACGCCGCGGACCTCTCCGCCACGCTCGCCCTTCCTCGCCTCGTCGTCTCCCCTCGGCTCGCCCTCGGGGCGGCACGGCACCTCCTCGTCCGACCAATCGCTGAACACCTCGCCGGCCGTGATGCTTGCCGGCTTCTCGTCCACCTCCTTGGGACTCTCGGGTCGCTCCGCGGGCGGCTCCTTCTTCACGACGACGACGACGACGTCGTCCCGCGACACTTCGGTTTGCGAGGAAGAGGGCGGGGTGGGCGCGGGCACGGGCGGGGTGCTGGGCCCCTTGCGTTTCTTGGCGTGCGTCACCGAATCGTCATCGGAAGACTCCGCCTCCTCGCGTGCCCTCTTCCTCCGCCCGCTCTCCGGGGCAGAGTCGTCCGATCGCTCCGACAGCCGAGGTGGCGTGTGCGGCGCCTCGCGCTCCCCGGTGCTGCTCCCGCCGCGCGATCCCGCGGCCCTGTCGCCGAAGCCCGACTTGCTGTGCTTGCGGCGCTGCGGCCGGCTCGGCTTGCGCTTGCGGAACTGGGGCATGCGCGGGCGGTCGACGAACTGCTCGCGCACGTCGATCTCGCGCGTGGGCAGCGCCTCGCCCGCCGCCACCGACTTGAGGCGCTCCTGGATGAGGCTGGTGTTGCGGTCGGGCGTGACGCCGTGGGCCCGGTCGGCCTCGCGCCGCCGCTCCGGCGTCTGCTCGGCCCGGCGCGCTGGACTGCCGACGGCGAGCGTCGACTCCACTGGCAGCACCACCTGGCTGGATAGGCGCATCTCCCTGCCCCGGCGCTGCCCTGCACGGCCACACCGACACGGCAAGGGGTCGTCGTTACTGTCGACGGAATCGGACGACGGCTCCCCCCAGGGAGCTGCGCCCAAGTGTTCGAGCAAGGCGGATCGGAGTGCGATGCAACTAAGGATGTGTTAGTTGAATAAAAATTGGAATTGGAAAAGTACCGCATTTATTTTTAATCATTATTTGATTTCCCAGTGGACAAAACCAGCCAGGTAGCTCAGTGGTACAGGACGCAGCTCGCAGTCGCTCAAATCCTTGTTGGGGGCTGACTCGGCGCAGCATCACTCCGGGGTCGATCAAATAAGTACCAGGATGTGGGGAAGTTAAGTGGTTGTGCTATGAAATTACTCGCCCCTGGTCTAGGAATGTGGAAGCTCCATCACCGGCTCATTCGAGCAGGAAATCAATTACTTGAATATAACCGAAGCATGAGATCTCAAAACTAAGTGGGTGCTTTGATGGGCGACCGCCGTGCATGCCAGGTTGTTATAGGCGTCTGTGGGGCTATGTTGCGGGCAACAGATGGCAGTGCAGTTCTGTACTCTGACACTTCCACGTTTCTGCTGCCCACCAATAATTCGCACCGACGAGGGTGGTGACACATGGACAAAGAGCCCCGACGACCCCCACGAGCCGCAGGGCGTGTGGAGGACCTTCATCCAGCAGTGGATCGAGAAAATAACTGGCCACGTACACGTCTTCTGAAACAACGGTTTTCATTTGCCCCATGTGGAAGGGTAAAGTGTTGTTTGTAATAATTTAGTAACATTTGTTCTTCGCACCGTTCTCCCAGCGCAAGGCTATCACAATGGTGCTAAGATTCAGCATTCAGAGGCATAGCCTGCAGTAGATTCACAATAGGCAGCGATGTTGCTTTGTGTATTTGCAAATAAGTAATTTGAAGGTAATTTTTACAATTTTAACAAATTTAGACCGTGACATCAGCACACAAGGGCCTACTCTTTTCAAATGACGTCACGGGGATCGTGAACGGCGAACGCGAAGCGGACGGTGCGCCTGCAGTAACGACCAGGGGGTGGCCTGCCGGATTGGAATCCACAATCCTCTGCGACGAGCGGCGAAGGCGCTACAGCTGGACCACGTGTACTCAGGAAGTCTCGGTTTTGCTGGTGGTGGTGGGCAAGCGAGCGAGCAGGAGTCACACACTTCGGTCATCCCCGCTGTTGGAGGAGTCGGCGCTCTCGGGTGACTTGAGTCGCAGTTTCTTTGCAGTCGGCCGCGGGGAAGTCGGGCTGCTGACGTCTCGCGTCCGCTTCCTGGGCACAAGTTTCACGTTGTTTATTTTGTTTAGACAGGCGAGAGAACTCACAGTGGCCAGGGTGAGTCTCATTTGCAATTGACCTGGGCCACCAATGTGACAGAAGCAGAAAGCAAGTACAACACTAAATCAAATTCTCCTAGCAATAGTTCGGAAATTCTATTAACTTACAGAAACATCAAAATAGATATAGGGTGATTATTGCAGGAGTATATGAAGTAATTGTACAGAACTGACAGTTATGAATCAAATTATGGTTGAGATGGCACAATAGCGGCACGCATCTCCTAGAGGGCGCGGCAACTCGGCAACGTGCAGAGACACGTCGAGCCTTCCCTCACCTCTTCTTGTCTCCGTCCTCGCGCCGCTCCTCCTTCGGCTCCTCCCTGCGCCGCTCTCGCTCCTCCCTCCTGCGGCCGCGCCCGCCGCGCCCTCGCCCGCCGCCGCCCCCCCTCTCCGCCTCGCGCTCCCGCTCCTTGCCTCGCTCCCTCTCGCCAGCGTCCGGCCCTTCGGCCCGCTCTCTCTCGCGTTGCTCCCTGTGCTCCCTCGCTCGCTCGGCCTTCTTCTCCGCGTCCGCGGGGCGCGCCCGCTCGCGCTCCCGCAGCTCGTTGGCCAAGCGTTCGCGCTCCCTCTCGCGCTCGCGGTGTTCGGCGTCCAAGCGCTCGCGCTCGCGATGGTCGGCGTCGGCTCTCTCGCGTTCCCTCCGCTCCCCATCCACGCGCTCCCTGTCGCGGTGCTCGCGGTGCTCGGCGCCGGAACGCTCCCTCTCCTTGTCGCGGTCCCTGTGGTCGCCGGCGCCGCCGCCGTCGGTGCGGTCGCGCTCTCTCCTTTCCACCTCCCGCCGCGCCGCATCGCGATCACCGGCCGGGGGCAGAGACGGCAGATCCCTCGAGCCGCCTCCGCGCTGGGAGGGTCGCGCCGGTGGGGACGCCGGGCGGCTCCCGGGGGCCGCGGCGCCGTCTGCGGTTGCCCACGGGAAGCGGCGCTTTCAATCAAGCGAGACCCACAGCGGTTTGCAACGCAACAACAAAACGTGGATTGATACAGCCCCTAAATGCAACCACATTTCCCAAGTCGCTGTAGGGAAAGCAAGTGCACAGGCAGAGGAAAACAGGAAGGTCTTCAGCTTGGAATTGAAGATGGGCAAGGAGCTGGAGAGTGCCAGATGACAGGGGAAGCAAAAATGGATGAGCAATCTCCAATTAGCAAAGGTTGACTTAGGGGCTTTGACAGAGAGCCTTGGATGCTGGAGCAGAGTGTGTGTGGAGGCAGTAGAGTGAGATGAGACGCTTGCCTACAAAAATTAATGACATGAAGTGACAATGCCACGTGAGCAAGACTGCAGCTGATGACGACCCAGTTCATCATCATGATCACCCCTACCCCATGCCACACTCGCACCTCGCTCGCGATTTTCCCGGCGCTCTTCACGTCTGTCGAACGAGACGTCGCGGCCGGAATCGCGGTTTTCCCGTGCGGCCTTCTCGGGTGCCGCCGCTGCCCTGCTGTCCCACGTGGCAAGCCCAACCCTGGTGTTGCCGCCACCAACGCCGCCACGGCCTGCGGCACACAGCGAGCAGCATTGCGGTTACACGCAGCAATCTCACACACGACAGCGGCAAGGAAGGGCTCTCAGCACGTCAACCGGGAAATGTGGGCCTTCATTCGTGCGACAAACAGCCAAGGTTGTGATAAGATTCAGCGATAATAACGATGCAAGACCATGCAAAAAATAATCGCTTTTACGTTGCTTATAATATCGCAACTGTGAAGTCGCGATATATATGCAACTTGAAAGCCAATTCAGGTAAGAATTGATTTTAATCGTGGATTAATTGTTACACATCGAGTAACAGCATCATGAAAATGAAGGATTGCTCTCCTCCGGCGTGGGACCCACCACCTCTGTCCTGCGCGCGCTCGTTGCTGCGCCCGCCCCGCTCGCCGCTCCGATCCTCCTTGCGCGTCCCCTCCTCCCGCTTGCGCCCCGTGCGCCCAAACGCCCTGTCGTCAGCGGCCGCGGCGCCGGTCGTTCCCGCCGAAGCCTCGTCCCTCCGGCGCGGCTCCCGGCCTTCCCTTGCGGCCCCCCTGCCGTCCCTCCAGCCGTCCGAGCGGCCCTCGACCTTGCCATCCCGCTCCGACCGGGCCTTCTCCTTTTCCGGCGCTTTTTCGGGTGGCGGCGGCGGCTGCCGACCGGCGTCGCGCTCTTCCCTGCGCTCGCGATCTCGAGCGGCGGCGCGCTCCGCCTCGCCGCCGTCTTTGCCCTCCCGCTTGTCCATCCTCGCGCGCGCGTCTGTGGCCGCAGCCGCGCGGATTTTAGTGTCAGCTCTCCAGCACCCCTCCGCGCGATTCATCTCGCACGCTCATTGCGCCGTTTATTCGAAGGTGTGCGAGAAAAGCCGTCAGGATGGTTGCGTATATAGGATAAAATAAACTATACATAAATATTCAACTTAATAGGGCACTATTAAATTGAATGGAAAATCCTCATTCCAATTACAGGCAAACCTCTCATAGCGCTGCCTCTTACAATGCTGTTTCATTATAACGCTCTTTGTCCAGGAGGAAAATACCTGCACGAATCAGCCCATATATGTTGACATAGAATAGTGTACATTAGGCAATGCCTTGAAACCAGTTACGCTGAATCGTTCATGTAAAATCAAGTCTAGACTAATGCAGTTCTCTTCATTAAAAATACCTCTTAAAGAAAGCCAGGTGCCCGATAATCTAATTACCCAGAATGTACCCAAATCTCATCAGATCTTGGAAGCTCAGCAAGGTTTAGAAATGGCCGACAACTATGCACAAGCAGCTAGCTGCAGCGCAACGTGGCGGGTAGCCGAGGGCAGTGAAGCAAAATCCACTGTTGCTCTGTACTTCTATGCTTCCGCGTCAATGGTCACCAACCCGCACTGAGCAGCGTGCAGAAGCATAGCCTAAGCACCCCGACGATCTGTACGGTGGACACCCTCATCCAGTTGCAGACGGACAAAAGCGCAGTACGTGTGTGCACGTGTGAACGTGGAAACCAGGCTACTGCGGTCACCCTGTCTCTCTCTCTCTTCCCTGGCCGTACCGTCGACTCTGTCCGGAGACTTGTCCGGCTCTCGCCGCTTGGACGCGTCCCTCTTGGGGCGGTCCCAGGACGCCGGCGGTGGCGGCGGCGGCACCGGTGAGGGGGGGCGACGGCGTCGACCCTGGGGGCTCTCCGAGCGGCGGCCGTGCAGCAGCGCTGTGCGCCTCGCCCTGTGGCATACGGCGGGCGCAACCGATAAAGCGATGGGTGGGGCCCCATACCGAGGGCCAACGAGGACATTCGCATATCTTTGGCGGGTGGCCACGCCTTAAAACACACACACACCTCAGACACTTTTGTCAATGCGAGAGGCCCTTGCATACAGAAAATTGGTACTCCATGAATATTTGGGGCGTAAAAATTCAGTCACAAATCAGAGGCGTCATTATATGAAAATGACTCCTTAACACTGTGGCTGGGACGAGCCCTTAACACCACGGCAACACGTGCTGAAAATCTGCACAGCGAGGAGCAATTTTATTTAACTCCAGAGTGCCGCATAGGGGACGCGGGGCCCACCTGGAGGGGGGTGACGGGTCGTTGGCAGGTTTGCGCGCAGGCGAGCGGGAAGCCCGGCGCGCGCCCTCGGGAGCGGTCACGGTGATGGCGGGGGCCGGCGAGGCGGCGCGCTGCTCCAGATGCTGGGGCTGCGGAGCCGCCGGCTGCTTGCGCTGCCGCGGAGAGACGATCCCGCTACCGCTGCTGCCCCCGCCGATTCCGCTGCGCCGCCGAACTTGCTGCGGCGACTCGGGACTACGTGGTCGCACCACCCTGCAGCACCGGCACCGGACAACATCGTCAACACTACGACCGCCCGGCCAGCACAAACCCGGCCACAGCCCGTGCACCCACCCAGCGTCACGGTCAAATGAATCATTCACTCAACACCGCTTTGAAACAGGCCAACCATCCCTTCTTTTGCTTTAAGCCAGCGCTCAGCATTTCGTAATTCGTCGATTCGGATATATTCAAATGCTAATGATACATTCAACAAATTGCGTGGGCGAGAATAGGTTATTGACAATGAATGCAAATATTGCACAATTATAATCTTAGGTACAGGAGATACGAGAGCTTTTGGCATCACCGAACCACAGGGGCAGGGCAACTGCACTCCTCGGCATGACAGGGGTGCAGCTACCCTGAGACGAGGGTGCCCTGATCCCGAGATGAAGGTGCCCCGAGTAGGATAAAGGAGGGTGCCCTGATTCCTATATGGGGGTGCCCTGCCCAGAGAGAAGCATGAGGAGGTGCGGGCGAACCTTCGTGGGGGGGAAGAGTGCAGGTGCTTCTTGGAGACGGTGGAAGAGGTGGACACCGGTTGGGAAGGGGGCGACTTTTTGCGCGACCGGTCTGGCGAGCTGCCAGGGCTGGACGCCGGAGACTGGGCGCGTTGACGGTTCGCCTGCGGCTTCGCTGCAGCGGAGAGAGTCCCGTTAGAACTTTGCACACACACAACTCCGCGCGTGCTTTGAATGCGCTGCATTAGGCCTCGCTGACTCGCTCCGCAAACAACGCTGTTACGGTTGTGTACCCGTCTCCCAAATCAAACAGCTGCTTGCTCTCATTTACATGCACGCCTACATAAATACATAATACGTGAATTGTATTTATAGCCATGAGAGGGACCACTGAGAAAACTACAAAACTAGAACAGAGACCCAGTGTGCATAAACAAAGCTTGTAATAAACAATGTTCCAACGCGGGGAAATACGCAACAAAATAAATCAAGCGTAAAAAATATGTGTAACAAAGAAAGACAACAAAAGTTTCAAACAAATCAATTTCAAGAGTTCAGCGCTGTGACATCACACACAGCAACACGGACAACCATGCAACGTGCAACAAGAACTTGGCGGCGGTGAGATGTAGCCAAGTAGCTACGGTCTAAATCAGTTCTGAACATGGAATTTCTGCTCTGTGGGGTGTTAATCACTACAGGCGACCTATGTAAAAGAAACTTAGAACTTTCTTCGCAGCGTATGTATCCAACCGTGCTAATCGGCGGTGCGGGGCAAGACGCTACCTGGCGCAGGCGAGGGCCGCTTGGGCTCCGGCGCCGGCAGTAGGGATGGTGGTGCGGCTCGCCGGTGGTGCTGTGGGAGGGGCACCAGCACAGGCGACTCGGACCAGCGCTTGGACGGGTCCTTGCAGGAGGGCGGCGACTGCGACCAGGCCCGGCCTTGGTCAGCTCCGATGGGCGGAGACTCGGACCAGCCGCGGTATTGCCCCTTTCGCGGAGGAGGGGACGGTGGTTTGGGCGGCAGTGCCAGTGCCTCTCTCTCCCGCTGGAGCCAAGCAATACAGAAGGCAGAATTTCACAAGGCAAGGGTGGTGACACGGTGCCACAGGAGATACACTACGTTGCCAATCGTGCTAATCGGAGGTCCGGCGGGGGAGGGACAAATTAGACACAAAAAGCAGTTCGAAATAAATTAGTTTTCAATCTAGATTTAAAAGTGCATAGCTGCAGTGGCTTCCTAATATTGGAAGAGCGTTCCAGACGGCCGCAGAAGCACATCTGAAAGTGCGCGATGCAGTGAATGCCTTTGTAAATGGAATCCATCGAATGCTTTGCCAAACTCAACACACAGTTATACACTCATCCATTGCTTTTCAAATATCATATAAAAGATTGCCCATGGAAGGATATTGCAGAACTACTTCTGAGATCCAACACACCCTGCAGTAAGATGTTTGACACATGGTCGTTAACCTGTAATTTTCACCCCACACAGCTAGAAAACCCTGGTTACCTTGGGGAGCTCCTTTGCTGGGAGAGACAGGGACAGGAGCTTCGGCTCGCGGCTCCTCTCTGCTGGCGCGAGAACGGGCGAGCGAGACTTGCGCTTGTTGCCAAGCTGCTTGGTGGGGACAGCGAGGGTGGCGACCGGTGGGGGGGAGGGCACCGGCGGCGATCGCTTGCGTCCACGCTCTTTGCCGACAACCGGGGACCTCACCAAGGGCTGCTTGGGCTTGGGGGGAGTTCGGGAGCGCCGTCTAACGCCCACCGGTGACTTGGACCGTTGCTTTTTGCCCGAGAGAGGCGGGGAGGCCGATCGACGCTTGCCCTTGTCCTTTCGGGCAGGTGGCGAGTGGGAGGGTCGTCGCACCTGCTCCTTGCCGGCGCCGGGCGTCCGAGATCGCGTCCGCGACCGCCCTCGCGCGGCAACCACGGCCGGGGACTGTGTCCGTCGCTTGCAGCGGCTCTTGTTCGTCTCGGGAGAGCTCGACTGCCGGCGCAAGCGCTCCTTGCCAACCGGCGGAGACAGCGACCTCCGCTTGGCCCGCTCCTTGGCCCCGTCGGGCGACTTGCCGCGATGCTTGCCGTGCTTGTCCCTGCGCGTGGCCGCCGGCGACTGGGACCAGCGCGAGGCGCGCTCCGCCGCGGCGGGCGGAGAGTGAGACTGTCTGCGTGGCGCCCGCTTTCCAGGACTCAACGAGCGCCGCTTTCTTCCCGTCCCCGGCGACCAATCCTGCGCACGCTCCTTACCGGGCGAGGGCGACGCCCGGCCGCCACGCTCCCGCCCGCTGGCCGACAGCCGGCGCTGCTTTGCCCGGTTCTTGCCGGCGCCGGGCGTCAAGGATCGCCGGCGGCCTCGGTCTTTGCTCGGCGCCAGCGGGGAGTGCGAGCGCCGGTCCTTGCTGCTTTCGGAGGACAAGGAGCGCCGCCTGGTGCGCTCCTTGCCGGTGTCTGGCGACGGGCGCCTGCGCTCTTTGCCCCGCTCGGGCGAGCGTGACGACATCTCCCGCTGCTGCTGCTGCTCGCGGTTGCGGCCCAGGGGCTTGACCACCCGGGCCGAACCGCTCTTCCTGTGCACCGGCGACGGGGACCGTCGGGATGTGCGGTTGGCCGGTGGGGACGGGGAGTGCTGGGGGCTGGTGGTGGAGGAGTCCGAGTGGTGCCTCGCCTTGTCTCTGCACAGACAGGCCGCGTCACCAGCGTGAAACGATCACTCGCGTCAAGCACATGCGCTTCTTCGATCCAAATTAGTGTCAACCTGTATTGGTCAAAGCTGGAGACAAATGTTTCGCACTTTCAGCAAGCGGCTGTGGAATGTAATTGCGCAGCTGTGGGATGGACAGGTAAACACCTCTCAGAGTCTATAAATTAGTTCCCGGATTCAAGCACATGCGCTTCTTCGATCCATATTGCGTAACGGGGTAAAATCTGTGCTAATTGGTGCAGTTATGACAAATCCTTTGGACAGCACATTGTCATCCCATTGATGAAGGCCACACGCCATCACCATCATGGGGGCTGCTTGACCACTGATGTTATCAGTGGCCGGGAATTGAACTCGCCAGTTTCGCTAACCAATGCACTTCACCTAATTTGCAATCACGACAGAGCATCACTAGTTTCCTTACAAGCGTCAACGCGCAGGAGCATTTCCGTTACGTTACTCAAACAGCAACTACAGTTGTGGCGGCGGCGGTGGCACCGACACCGGCACAGCACGGGCAGCAGTGGCACGGCCCAGCTCGGGCGAGGCCGCCACCCTCACAGTGCCCAACGCGATCTCGGACCCCGCGCGGCACACCTCACGCGGTCCTTTCGGTCCTTGTCACGGCCGCGCTCCGCGTCCTTGCCCTTGTGCTTAGGCTCCTTGGCGTCACCGCGTGCCGCCTTGCCGTCCCGCATCTCCTTGCGCTCCTTGTTCTTGCCCTCCGCCTCCTTCAGCTTGTCCTTGTGTTTCTTCAGCAGCCGGGCCTCGTTGCTGGGCGGGAGCGGCGAGGGGCTGGGCGTGCGCGGTCCTTTCTTCTTGCCCAGCAGCTTGGGGTATTTCCTGTGAGCGGTGCGTTACATGCCTACGTATTATATCAGCATCACCTTATTTCTGGTATGTTTCCCACTCATGTGGGCTCTGCCTTCCTGCTCCTCTTTCTACACTCATTCCTGTCCTGGGCCATCATCTCCAAGTCCAATCCACAGTCTTTCACATCCTAGTTCATCACCTGGCTCTCGGTCTCCACCACGGTGCTTCCAGAATAATTAGAATTTCCTCCAATGTGGAATTCCTCTATTATAACATCTTCAACGCCAAATGTTACCGGGCTATTGTCTTATATCCCTGCGTCATTTGGAAAGAGTAGGGCATTGTACGCTGGCGTCATGATCCAAACTTGTCACACTTGAAAAATTACTCGCAACTTACCCAATTACACATTGCAATATCGCCCGCCTATTGTGAAACTACTGCCGACTGTCTGTGAAATATAGGGTCTTCACGATAGCCTTGTGCTATAACAATGGCACGAACAACAAATGTACTAAATTACTAAAAAAAGTTATTCTTACATTATTAAAAGGGGCACCTAACTATACTGCGAACATCTGCACTGAAAACCTACCGCTCAGCGTCGCCGGGTGGAGACGGCGTTCGTGGGCCTTTCTTGTTCTTCTTGTTGGGAGGCTGCAGGGCCAAGGGAGAGGATGGAGAAAGGATCCTCCTCTTTGGGGACTTGCCCTTCCTCTTGGGGGATGGCGACCGCTTGCTAACAGCCGGTTCCGGAGACACCTAGCAAAACGGAAAAGCGGGAATACAACCGCGACGTGCTACTTATTGGGCCAAATGTCCAGTATAACACAAGCGCGCATGCAGCTCTTAATCAAGCGACAGGGACAGAGTGAGAGTACGCTCTAGATATGTAATGATTCACCCCCACACAACTCTGGGCCATGATTCAAATTAGGAATCCGTTGGTTTGTCTCGTTTTTGCCATTTCATTTGTATAGTCATGGTCATTTCATTAGCCAATTTGTACAATTCACGTGTTGAATTTGCGTAGTGAACAATCTACAATCACACCGCTATGCTAGGCACAAGTATGAGGAGCGTGCCAACGCCAAATCACTCGGAATGGACCCAATCTCGTGAGATCTCGGAAGCTAAGCATTCATGAGCCTGCACAGTGTTTGGATGGGCAACCATCACGCACAAAACAAGTGTTGTAGGCTGCTGCGGGGCTACGTTGTTTGCAGAGGGAAGTACAGCAAATTATTTTGTCTATGCTGCCAGCTTTCACCAACCCGCAATGACCAGAGTTATTGAAGCAAGGTCAACTAACTCCCACGGCTCACACACCGTGCCGAGGCGCACGTCCAGGAAGCGAATTAACGAAAGCCATGTACACGCACACGGGCAGCGTAAGAATGACTGTATTTGTGTTGGACACGGGAAGAGGTGGGGGCGGCGATGGCGCCAGTATCACCTGCTTTTGGATGACGAGCTCCTCACGCTCCTCCAACTCGCGCTCTTGCTCCAGCTTTATCAGCTCTAGCTGCAGCTTCTGGCGCTGCAGCTCCAGCGACAGCGCCTGTCCGAAGTCGTAGGCGGCATCACCGTTGTCCGAGTCTGTGCAGACAAACAAAGCTCCCCTGCAGGCCCATCGTGGCTCCACCACGACCCAGAGACTACGCGGGCTTGATCCTGGTTAGTACTTGGAATCGATTCCAGGCGGGTGTCGAGAGCTTCGGCTGTGAGGTGGCCAGATGGCAGTGCAGCAATTGATTCTTGAATCTATCTGTGCTGCGCTGAAAGTGCTATCCGCTTGTATGCATGGTTGGCTTTCTCTGGATAATTGTCTCACTTCCATGAGCCAAACACCGTGGCATCACAATGCGCTCTTATTTCTGTTGTGAATGTACCACACAATTGCTTTGTCAGATGGCGTTTGCAAAAGTTTTGTTTAAAATTTGCGTTCCTTATACAGGCACCTGAATCATTTCTTTCATGAATGGAAAAAGACACCGTGTGCTGCCTGCAAACATTGTCGCTATTTTTTTTTTACAAATTGTTTTGGCTGCACCTTGGGTGCTATATCGTTACCACGCCTCCGTCCGCAGTTGTTGTCCTTTCGCCACAATGGATGGCGGTGTGCAATCCCCACTCTCTCTTCGCCTTGTCCAAACGTGCACTGTTACGCACTCCCAGGTATTTTCTCAATGCCCATTGGTTACGACTCGCAGATGGCAGTGAGGCAGTTGACACCGAGAGGTTCTCTCCATTAAATGCTTCTGCCCGCTCTCCAGTCCACGTCACGCCTTCTCAAAAAACAAACTTGCACGTTGTTAAGGGTGAATTTTATAATAATTTTTTTTTTATAATTTGGGTGTCAATGATCCTTGTACGACTCAGGTTTGAAGCAGAATAATGGACGAACAAAAGTATTTCAATAGATCACCAGTAGAATGACTTTGATGACTATGATGATAAGAACATTGGGCAGCTGCAAGTAGTCCCAAAGCATGTACGAAGGCGGGTACCTGTCAAAGAGCAGCCTTTCTTACCCTCACGGGCATGGTCCCAGGCGGGAGGTTCTCCGTCACTCTCAGGGGGCGTGCGTGCCTTGATGATCTTGATGTTGGCCTCCTCCTTGCTCCGGCGCTTCACCTTTGTGGAGTCCCTCTGCGGGCGACAGCCATGGCACCACGCTCGTTCTGCGAGGCCGTCTCTCGCTGCCGCTCTTTGACGCAGCATCGTCCGGAACCAACGCTTCGGACAAAAAACCCCCCTTCTGCGTGTCTGGCCACGCCCTGCGCAAAACCGCTGTCCACAGGACGCAGCAGCGGGTAAGAGAGCACGCGCCGTGGGAGTTCAGTTTGATGGAGACGGCCTCTGTGCCAGGCTCAGAGGGGACGGCCCCCCTATTTCTCCACGCATCTCCGGCACCGACAGGCGGCGGGGCGAGGCGTGGCAGGATCGAATCGCATGGCGAGCGCTCACCCTGCCAGGGGAGGGTGAAGCTTCCTGCCTGCGAGACGTCGGCTCTGCCTCCAAGTCCTGCCGCTTGTTCTTCATGCGCTCACGGAGATCGGTGGTCACACGGTCGGGGGACCTGCGGGGACAACGCGAGGGGGCACATCCCTCAAGTCAGGACCTCATTTTTTGTAAAAGTTGTCTCAGACCTTGTGGAGACAACTTTCCTGTCTGAAACATGAGAGAAAAGTAGCATCTGCAAGTCAAGAGACACCACAGTTGCCGTTGTTCCAAATGTACAAAAACTTACCCCTCACAAGATATAGGGTACCTCAATAGACATGCATAATTATTTCATAAGCATTGACTTGATTTTATTTTGTTCGTGTCTTGTGCGTTCATGAGTGAAAATAAAGAGGCGGAACAGTTGGTTAATAAATAGGCACGTAGCAGGGCACTGATTGCTTAAAATGTAATATTACTTTCATGATACATGCATCTAATCAAGCATGAAAGAACAGATTGTTTGTGACTTATGCGAGAATATGTGAGCGGATACACCTGTATAAACTAAATAGAAAAGAGAAATAATCCCAATGAAAAAGCTAAAATGAGACAATATGAGCAATGACTCTTCATATTCTTGGTTCTTTCGGTAAAGTCACGTAGAAGGGAAACAATAAAATAATAAAAATATAGAACAATAAAATTCTCACGTCGTTTCGACTGCAACACAAGCAATCATCATCAGGTGTGAAAACCACAGCAAGAACATTTCTCAAGAAAATTTTTCAAATTTTCTTGTTGTGGTTTTCACACCTGATGACGATTGCTTGTGTTGCAGTCGAAACGTCGAGATAATTTTATTTTTTTATTACTTGTTTCCCTTCTACGTGACTTTACCGAAAGAACCAATAATATGAATCCCTGCAGTCACGAAAGCTTTAAATAACAAAAATGACTCTTCAATTGCATTGTGATCTGTAATTGTAACAATTTACTAAATCACTGGGGAATCACCACATGCTAATTAATCAAATTTGGTTTGGGGTTGTATTTTATTGGTGTGAGCCTCCATGTGTGTGTTTTATACAGTGCCTTGTGATCACCGGATGAAAGGCACTTTAGGAGTGTAAATTATTATTAATCAATCATGCCTCCCCATGGCGTGTGGCACCTGCGATTGCTTCCGCGGTAGTTCTTGCTTCGTGGGAGCGGGTGGCTGAATCTGCAGCTGTTGCCATAGTTGCAGCGCCCCTTCATCCAGTTGCGGCAAATCTGCACAAGAGGATACCACAATCATCAGCGCGCAAAATAATTTAAATTTTACAGCAGTGAAACCAGGTGAGGAAATGCACGGTGCATTGAGGCGGCAGAGGGTTTTGTGTGGCAGGGTCGGCAGAACTCAGTCACTCTTTACCACTGCCGTACCAAGTTGCTAGAGTTGTTCATTCATAATAAAAGTTAATTTGGGTAAGATCGCGTAAATATGTGTCGTTAACCCACCACCACCCGACACGGCCAATTAGTAAGGTTTGTCACGTAAACAAAATGTGGCAACTAGTTACGACTTCAACACACCGGAATGTGGAGAGTAAACCAACAACGATCACAATTTCAGTACGACATTTCGCTGATAATTACAACCAGGTTAATCGGGCGAATTGTGCCGTGTTAGAGTTGTTCATGGCGAGAACTTCTGGAGACTCGCACCTCGGTTGTCTTGGACTGCACGGGGGTGACCGTCGTGCTGCCGGTGCTTCCGCCAGTGCCGGCGCCGCCTCCTCCTCCTCCTCCGCCCCCACCTGGGCCCAGCCGCTCAAAGACGCTGGGCCGGCGCAGCGCGTTTTCCGACACAGTCTTGGAGCTCTCCACCGTCACCGTGCGCCGAACCTTCGACATGGCCGTCCCGCCAGCGGTGGCGGCGCGAACCTCGCGCCCCACGCGGGAACCACGTGCCTTGCCCCTTGGCTTCTGGCAGTGCAGACCACGCGGCAGCGGAAGCAGCGAAAGCGATCCAAGTCAACATTCGCGTCTCCCTTAGTGCCATGATACACTTTAGAAATATATGGCAATTGTTGCCGGTGATAATCATAAAAGTTGAACCATAAAACTTCGCACTGCTCATTATATACATTTGATAGTGGTATATCTGCATTTCACCAATTCTCAAAGTAAATGAATGGCTAAATCACTAAATTGAAGTTGCATCTTTGTGGGTGTATGAATTACCAATAGTTGGTTGGCAGGCCATTGTCTCCTGCAAAAAAAAACATTTTAAATACCTAAAATATGTAAAAATCTAATTGTTACCCTTCATTTTGGGCAACCGAGATGGCAACTTCAGATCACATGACAACTGGAGGTTGTATGGTCTGTAGACCAATCATTGCTCATCAAAAACCTTTAAACAATTTCATAGACTAAAAAGAACTCCTACTATCTTGACAGAATGGCTCATAGTAAATTCATTACCAGTGAGAACTCCCAGATACATATATGAAGTTGTCCTTTATTGGCATTCATACCATGATCGTTTCCTACTATCAACCAGAATCAGGCTTGCCCACGTTATATCGGCTATAACGTCACATTCCATGGTAAGAAAATTACGTGCTCTTATAATGCTGAGGATTGTATATTTGCGAGCGTTTAGGTAGACTTAAATCGATTTTGAACTACAGGCTGGCCATGCCCGACGAATCTGAAAATGCTGGTTTTAGTATTATTTGTTAAAACAAAAGACATTTTATATTGGGCCAACTGCCGGTTGAAAATGTTCTTTAAATTTACATTAATGACTTGGTTTGCAAAAACAATAGCGAACAGTTATCACGGACATTGTTTTACGCAGCAGCGAGGGAATTGGCGGGGGGTGATCGTGAGACCTTGTATCATAGTGCGTGAGGGTTACCGTGACCAGGGAGACACTCGTGGGCAGTGGCACAAAACTCCTCAAGTGCAATTCGCCCAAGTAATATAAAACAATAGAAGATGCGTGGGGGAAACAAATATAACTTCGCGTGTTTTAAGCAGAGGCAACTTCGGGAGCGAGGGAGCTGGAGAGATGAGATGGCAAGCGGGGGAAGGAGAGAGGACGAGATCAGGGGGAGAAACAAACCCCAAGGCAGACCGGAGTGCGAGCGACCGGACGTGCTAATGGAAGCAAAGAAATCAGGGGAAGGGGAGCGAAGATGTCAGGGGATCAGAAGCCCGGGAGGGGTGGGGGGGGGGGATAAGCGGGGCGCACCAGGAGCAACAGGGAGACCCGGGGAGGCGCACAGGGCTGGGAAAACCAGGGACTCCAAAGGAACACGTGCCCACCGGAAGCCGGGCTCTCCCAGCACGGCCTCCCCTTCGCTTACACGGGACCCGCGCAGGGAAGGCTGAGGAAGAGCGGGAGGACACGAGCTGAGCGGCGTGGCAATGCGTGGCCGAGCCCGAAGCTTGGGCACCTAGCGTCCGCCGCGTCCACGGCCCGTGTTGCGGCCCGCGCCTCAAGGCAACACCGCAGGCTGTGCGGCCTAAGTCGTGCACCCGTCGCGAGCGCCGTGTATCCGTTCGGGGAGCGGCCGCGCTGCGTCCCGACGCGCGGGCCCGTCGCGCCACACGCTACCGGCCGCGTCCGCGTGAAGCGAAGCTGATGCGGCCGAGACGAGGTCACGAACCATCGACGGGGGTCGCCTCCTCTACCCTGCGCCTGGCGCCATCATTGCGGGGACCGCCCACTTCCGGCGGTGGAGTAGACTGCGCGGTGACGTCACGCGGTGGCGTCAGGCGGCGGGCGGTGACGTCATCGCGTCAAATGCCAGTCTGTTCGAAATCGGTTTCGCTTTTGCGATACCGGTAACCGCATAACATGAAATAAAACGGTTACCGATTTACCCAACGTGGTGTGATCAGTAATCGTTAGCGCAGTGGACTTGTAGAACAGAGGCCGCCGGTTCAGTTCCACTTCCTGGCGCGGCAGTTAAAACAATCGCGCAAGTTTCGACCGTCGAGCAGCGGATTGATCACGGCTGATCATTCAGTTTCAGTTTCTTTATTGTTTTATATTTTTATTATTTTATTGTTTCCCTTCTACGTGACTTTACCGAATTAACCAAGAATATACATTCAGTTTCTTTATTTTGGTCTAGCCCTGTGAGCCATTCGGCTCTTGAATCGGGTGCAACCACAACAAACAAAAAAAAACAAAAACACCAACAAGAAAAAACATCTTAAAGTGAATCAATTAGAAGCACACCCAATGCACAATATTTCCTCAGCAGAGCCCCGACAGACAAGCTCCCAGTTTACAAGTGAGCAACCGAGTTACTGGAGGTATCCATGTCAATGTGCACCACCTGAATCAGGAGTGCTTCACAGGCCGGGTTAAGGTGCTGCTCGTTCACTGCACGATAGCGCACGTCCACGTACATCTCCATGCACAGTCGGAAGAAGCGCGTTATCAAATCATCAGTCTTCAGGATGCCGTGCTGGTGCATCTGTCCGACAAAGGCAGAGAAAGCCTTTGCGCTGTCGGCGGCGGGCGAGTGGTACATGTTGACCCACAGCAGCAGCAGCAGACACTCGGCCTTCTCGTGCAGGCCAGGCGGGTCGGCGTGGGGCCGGCGTTGTGTGTGCGGGCCATCGCTGGCTCATGGTTGGCTCCAATCACCTCCGTCAACTGCGGCAGTCCTTCAGGCGCGTTGACGCGAGAGTGGGCGTTGATCCTCATCGGTGTCTCAATGGTTTGGATTTAAAGCTTTCGTGACTGCAGCGATTCATATTCTTGGTTCTTTCGGTAAAGTCACGCAGTGGCGCGCGCGCTCCGCAACTTGCACGTGGTGGAGTTTGGTTGGCACGGATAAACAATAATGTCGCTGTATCACCATCGTCGTGTCATTCGTGAAAACTGCGCCTCACAACGCCGGAGCACACGGAGGCGGATATGTACCAAGATGTCCTCAGCCAATTCATGAGCGCCGGGCTTCTAAAACGCATAAAGTTGGCACAGTTGGGGGGGCGGGGGGGGGCACAGGTGGTGCGTCTGCCGGTCACCTTCGTCGTCAGTCAACTCAGGACACCTGCCAGGACTGTTCCGTGACCTCCTTGCCAGCGGGCTGCCTTCGACTTCACGTGGCCTCAGAGTGCACCGAGCCTGGCACAAGCCGCGTGGTGACGTCACAGACACTGACGGCGGTTTAAGTTGTTCCTGCGAGAAGGGCCCTCAACCTCAGTGCTTCTCAACCTTTTTCGTACACAAAGATCCCCCGTGTAGCCTTAACATACTGTAGGGGCAAGTGCTGTTAGCGAGCACCTATAAAGGCCGGCACGGCACACGAGGGGGTGGGTGGCCAGCACCACGCCCGGCCGCCTTTGTCTCCCCAGTGCAATGTTAAGACACCGCACCAGGTACTCATTTGAGGCTGAGTCGACCTAGGGGAGGCCCAGGACCGGTTCAGATAATCGTCACTGGCGGTGTTTGCCGTGACCGGGAATCGAACCCCAGAGCCAGGTTCGTAGCGCGGCGTAGCACTAACCGCTACACCACCGCTCCTCACACACGCGCCACCACCCACCACCCACCCATACACACCACCCACACACCCCACCCACACACACCACCCACACACACACCACCCACACACCACCCACACACCACACACCACCCACACACACCACCCACACACACACCACCCACACACACACCACCCACACACCACACACACACCACCCACTCACACCACCCACAAACCACCCACACACACCACCAACACACCACCCACACACCACCCACACACACCACCCACACACACACCACCCACACACACCACACACACCACACACACACCCACCCCACCCCCACCACACACACACCCACCACCCCCCACACACACACCCCCCCACCCACCCCCCCACACACACCCCCCCACCACACCACCACCCACACCACCCCACCACACCACACCACCCACACCACACACACCACCCCACACCACCACACACACCCACCCCACACCCCCCCACACACCCCCACCACCACCACACCCACAACCACCCCCCCACCCCACCCCCCCACCACACCCCCACCCCACCCCCCCCCACCCACCCACCCACCCACCACCCCCACCCCCCCCCACCCACCCCCCACCCCCCCCCCACCCCCCACACCCACCCACACACCCCACACCCACACACACCCACCCCAAACCACCCACACACACACACACACCACCACCCCACCCCCCCCACACCCCCCCACACCCCCCCCCACCACCCACCCCACACACCACACACCCCCCACCACCCCCCACCCCACACCCCACCCACACCACCCAACCCCCCCACCCACACCACCCCCACACACACCACCCACACACACCACACACACACCACCACACCACCCACACACATCACCCACACACCACCCACACACCCCACCCACACACACTACACACACACCACACACACACACACCACACACCCCACACACACACACCACACACACCACCCACACACACCACACACACCACCCACCACCCACACACCACTCACACACACCACCCACACACACCACCCACAAACCACACACACCACACACACCACCCACACACAGACCACCCACACACACACCACACACACACACCACCCACACACCACACACACCACCCACACACACCACACACATACCACCCACACACCACACACACCACTCACACACCACCCACACACCACCCACACACACACCACCCACACACCACACACACACCACCCACACACACCACCCACAGACCACCCACACACACCACCCACACACACACCACACACACACCACCCACACACACCACCCACACACACATCACCCACACCACCCACACACCACCCACACACACACCACCCACACCACACACACACACCACCCACAAACCACACACACACACCACACACGCCACCCACACACCAGACACACCACCCACACACCATCCAACACACACACCACCCACACACCACCCACACACCACCCACACCACCCACACACTACCCACACACACCACCCACACACACCACACACACACCACCCACACCACCCACACACACACCACCCACACACCACCCACGCACACACCATCCACACACCACCCACACACACACCACCCACACACACACACGACCCACACTCACACCACACACACCACACACACACCACCCACACACCACCCACACACCACCCACACCACCCACACACCACCCACACACACCACCCACACACACCACACACACCACACACACACCACCCACACACCACCCACGCACACACCATCCACACACCACCCACACACACACCACCCACACACACGACCCACACTCACACCACACACACACCACCCAAACACACCACACACACCACCCACACACACATCACACTTTCTTACGATCTTCGCGGCACACCGAGCCAAAAGCTCACCGTGTGGACCCGGCAGGAGTGCGGGTGGGAAGGCGTGGTCGCGGCTTATTTTCTCAGAATCGGAATATTTACTTGTACTCCAGGAATCCGATGAGCTATGAAGCTCTTTTTTCACAGATGTCCAGTATTTCATGGAGGCGCCCAGCAGTTGCGCATGTGCGACCGAGAGAGTTGAGAGGGCCGGGGTGGGGGCTGACGACTGTTCGTTGCTGTCCTGCGACCAACGGAGATGGGAGGCGAGAGGCTGGGGGGCTGGATCGGCCACTGAACGGCATGGAGAGTGCGTCTATCCCAGTTTACGAACGGTGAGGTTATCATACTCTTTGGTTCTTTCGGTAAAGTCACGTAGGTAAAATTTAATAAAATAAAATAAAACAAAAATGAAAACAACTAAATTAAATCACGACGTTTCGGGCGCAACACAAGCGTCCGTCATCAGGTGGGTACAACCACAGCAAAAAAAACAATCGTTGAAGTATGCCAAAGAGATGACTGTGACAAGGGATTATATAGGTGATGGGGGGGGGGGTGTTCGGGGCGGGGCGTCGGCCGGAGGAGAGCGGTGCGGATGGTCCAAAAGCTCGGCCTGCGGCTGTGACACGTTGGGGGGTATCAGCTTTAATCCCGAAAATACACCTGGCTCATACCGGTTGCGAAGCACTGCTCTATCCCATGCAGATGAAGCATTAGTCCACGCTCGCTGTACTGCTGAGTGCATTGTACATGCAATGTGGTGGGCACATGACGTGCATGCACGATGTGTGTGTTTTCCTGCTGTTTGTGATCACACCCTTGTGTACAGTATTGTAGAATAAATAATTTTGCCATTTTTTTCAACAATGCCATTCCGATTGCACTCTCTGCGTCATGTGGCTTGACGAATAACACTGTGGAACAAAACAAATTGTTGTTCCTGGGTAGTACGTGTTATTTCCTAATTGCTTATGCCTCAAAAGTACAGAAAATGGCTATTATTTCACAAATTTTGCTTTTGTGACCAGGATATTGATATTTTGAAATGTACCTATTTTCAATGAGGAAACGTGTGCATTTGTGTCTTTCGTTCACATAAAGTCCCGGTTACAAAGGCAAAGTTTGTGGGGAATAATAGACATTTTCTCTAATTTTTAGGCATGAGCAATTAAAAATAACAGTACCCAGCAACAAAAATTGTGTGACATAGTGTAATCTATTTGGAACTCTTGCATAGCAGTGTGACCCTCTGCCCAATAGAGGGCAGCACTTTCCCACTCGCTGTGTATACGAGAGTTAAGGCTCGCTGCGTGACAGTCAATTTACAT